AAGAAGGAAGTATCGGTACAAGAAACTGCACAGTGAATACTGAAAAGAATGTTGTCGCGAGAGGAGAGGGGGCGGCGGCGAATGAGGGGGATGAAAGAGTTAAGAAAGAGCGGGAGCGAGCGGCATTGCAAAAAAGGAGCGACAGATAGAAAGATAGGCAGAAAGAGAACGCGAGAGGGGGCGGGGGATAGAGGATGGGGAGAAAAGAGAGAGATGCGCTCTCGCTGAGAAGAAAATCTTTTGAGGGAAAGTGATGAGCATTTCTGTGGGAGATCTAATACAAGAGCGACGAGAGATAGACATCGGGAAAAATTAAAATGTCTTATAAATTAGCGCGGAGGGTGGTATGCTCTTACGAATTACCCCCGTTGAAAGAAATGATTATTTATTACAACGTGTTTCATTGTCCAAAAAATGTAGAGGGCGATTAATTTTTATTATTTTTCAAAAATGATTCCTAAACTTAAGAAAGTTTTGAAAAATATTATATAATGATACACCAAATATTTGAGGCATTTAGAGCAAGATTGTACTAATAAATTGAACACATACCGTGGATTTAGTTTCTTTTACAGACTTTCAGACTTTTGCCTTGAATGCCTCTCGTTTATACGAAATGCAAGATGTAAAAAAGTATCGCGACGTATCTGTAGAATTGCAAATAGTAACAATAAATGCCGAATGAAAGGCAAGCGGCGAAATACATGAGGAAGGATTGCGTACTGACAAATGCTTCTTCTACGTATGCATCGGATGCGTCTACGTTTCGCGTCTGATTGTCGACGCTAGCCGTCGTCTCCAGCGTTCGCGAAAAGAGGAGCATTTCAGCAGCCTGCATTCCGTTGCGAGAGCGGTGGGCGAAACAATGTGGCTTTTGTGAAGCAAAGAAACGGCAAAGCCCGCCTAAAGAGAAAAGCTAAGAGCGATTGAAATACGCTCGTATGTCCGCCCTTCTTCCTCCGTTTTATTCCCTCCTCTTTCGGATCTCGCTACCGTGCTCGCCACCGTTGTTTCCGCGCCTTTTATATTTTGTATTACAATAAATGTGTGTGAAACGTACATATGTATGTGCGCGCGCGCGCGCAAACATGTGTCTACGTAAGCGTATATATGAAGTATAAAGTTAAACGTGCTGCTAAAAAGATCGCGTTTTGAAGAAAAAGTGACATAATTTTCATAATTTTAAAAAATTTCTCCTTCGAATTCGAAAAACATCTCTGCATCAAGCATATCCTCTGCATCAAGCTTACAAATTAATGAATGTGAACTTGAAGATTGTCATTCGCGACAAGAAGACAGAGGAAACTGTGACTGGGAGAAGGAATTTAGAAAGGGGGCGGGAGGAAGGATAAGAGCAAAAGAATGAGAAAGTAACGACGGGGACCAGAAGCGGTCGACAATTGAGGGTGGTATGTGTCGAAGGAGTATTGGTAGACGCAGATCGGAAAAGGGGGATAGAAAGGGGATGGGGCGAGAAGAGGGGATCGAGGAAAGCACATGGGGAGGCGGCATGGGTGGTTGCAGGTTGGTAGTCAAGACTGCCTTCAGATTTCCAGAGTGAAGCATTGTGTTCCGAAGGCGCATTGTCCTCGCGTCGGCGGGAACTCGACAATGCCGAGTCCGTAAGTTAGTAACCCTACCGTAAAAACTTATCTCTCTCCGCCCCCGAACCGCCGACCTCCAGCCTCCGTGATTCCGTTCGATTTCCAACCTTCACCCCCATCCCCCGTTCTTTCCTATCCCCCTCTTTATTGGCGCATTCTCGGCCCTGGGCCCCGGCGTTTCCGAAGACGCCGTTTCCTCCCTCTTTCCTCCCTTTCTCTCTCTTTCTCTTCAGGTTGCGACAGAACAATTCCATGCCGCAGTTCTGACGTCCTGAAGAAGGATCTTGTGGAATCAAGTCAACCGTCGCGTAACGAATCCTCGTGGCTAAGAACGAGCATCTCGTTTCCGCGAGTATCTTTAAATTGAGCTCTATGATAGCTCCTGCGATACGAATCAAACCATATGTCTTTTAAAAATATATCTCTCGTAAAGAAAATTGCAAATTGTTGGGGGACAATTATAATTGAAAGAGACGAAAGGTTCCCCAATCATTACTATTCTTACTATTACTATTCCAGCTTCTCACTTTTTATTAATCGACGACTTGTGACTGTACGTCTTCTCACGATGAAAACAACGGCTAGCAAAATGTTAATTGTATCGACGATTCAAGTGTATCGCGGGGAGGCGGCAGAGCCAGGAAGCAAGCACAATGAAGCACGGCGGCGCGCGATTCCGAGAGTCGGAAGTGAACGTTCCGGGGAGCGGATACAAACATCAGGGGTTGGCGGGTGGTCCTCTTCTCTCTCTCTCTCTCTTTGTCTCTCTATCCCATCTCATTGGAGAACTCAAGTTGCCGGCCAGCCGGACAACGCGCGGTCGCCGGACAAAGCTTCTCTAATTGTCCCCATCAGCGGCGAAGAATGGACCGCGAGCCTGCCTCTGACAATTTCATTTGTAATTTGCATAAGGCTTATTAAAATCACAATGAATGAGGAGGCGTCCGCTGTTGCTGCGTCTCATGGCGATGATCGACGACGATCGTCCTCGTAACTTCTCTCAAAACTGCTTATCGCGCTTATCAAGAATGTAATTAAGGTCATTCTTAGAAGAATGGAAAGAAGAGTATAATTTTTTTATTGAAAGATATTGAATTCTAATTTCTAAATTTACGAAGGAAAAGATGACTTAAAGCGATTTCCAAATAATTTGTAATAAGTTAAACATGTAATAAATCATATTTATTATTTTCATCTCCTGAAAGAAATTTTTCAAAGCTATTCATGCGTGTGAAAATATTTACAACAATCTAAACTTCTCTTCTTGCAGTAGATCCGTCTGTTATCCTTGCGCAATAATCGTTTACATTTAGAATCTCTGGTTTAATTTTCTCCAACAAATTTCTGAAAATATACAGCTGTCTCATTTCAAATGCAGAAATTTTTCAAGATGCAAGTAAGACAAACAAAATTAATGGCTATATTCGATCAATAAGTATTTAAAAGCGTTTGATCGGCGATTGAAATAAAAAAGCAAGAATTTTTTTTCAAACACTTTGAAACACTTGAAACTGCAGCTAGTGTATCTACGAATCTGCTATAGGGAAGAGAAGTCTCTCATGTTCGCCAGCCTGACAATCGCAATGTTGGCAATACTGGCTCACACTGCTATCTCCTCGCGTCCGCTCGCGTTTACAGTGACGTTTACATTTGACAATGACGAATGTTTTCTTCTCGCCTCGCGCGTACTGTAAAATTATTCTACACGCAACCAAGTATCCGCATTGCGCGATTAATGGTTTGCTACTCGGCAAACAAAAAACCAAGGACGGCAGGGCGGATCTGTACATCGAGGATGCGATACCATTATTCCACATATGCCTACATGTTTCCCCAATGGCGGAAATAGCCCTTACTTTGGTAAATATTTGACAAATTTCGTGATTGTATTATCGTGATCAAGCTTTTCGCAAAATTCTACAGCCTAGTATGTTGCCTGAAACGTGTACCTTAATGCATGCAATAATCGATATATGACGTGACGTGTCAATGTCCTAACCTATATCGCAACGATGAGGTGTCATAACGAGTTTATGCATTTTATTTTATTAATTTTCTTTTCATTCGAAATGTTAGAATAATAGTAATCTTGTGTAATGCTATTTAATATTACAGGTGGACCAGTTAGCAGTTAGCAAAGGCCTTATCCTGGCAGGTTATTACCTAGCCAATGAGAATATAAATGATTTAAGGTATCTTATTTCCTTGATCTTATACATTGCATTGATTTATTTTATTGATTCATTTTTGTGTTTTTTATGCAGTACAGACAGACCAGCTCACAGAATAGCAGATAAAATTGCAGATAACTTTAATAGTGCGCTACTTGTAGTGGTAAGTTTGCTATAATTATTACATCAATATATATTTTATATCTATTTCTATAAATCTTATTACTTTTTACCAGGTGGATAATCGAGAAGTAACTTTAGGTATGGGATCTAGTCCATTGAGAATTTCACAGTCCACAGATGGAAAATGGAAGCTAAAGGATAAAGCAAAGTAATTATATATTTTTAATATCATTTTGAAATTATAATTTTATATTTAATTATAAATAATCATTTAATTCTCAATATAATAATTATCATTTAATTCTCAAAAGGTCATCCATTTTATGTGGGCAATAAAATATATTTATTCTGTTGTAGTATAATTTACGAAGGAGGTGTTGCACACACAGATGCGATGTATTCATTACTAAAAGCAGAAGAGTACAGGAATCTGATCGATTTCGACAACCATCTCGATAATGTTACTCTTGATTGGCAAAATCAAAAACTTAATAAAATTATTGATGAGGCTGTCGACAAACATAAATAGAAAAAAGACAATGCAATCATTCCACACATAAATCATACAAAGATTGTTTTATTTATATGTTACGTTGCACTCTATATATATTTCATTCACTGTATGCAAGTAACAAATGTACATATGCTATAGAATTTATAAATGAATATCACTTGTTTTTCAATATTAAGATTTTACTTCTATATACCTATCATTCCAACAATCTCTTGTTTTAAAACTATATCAACTTTTTGAACAGAGAAATTGCTTAAATACCTTCAATTTATTATACTTAATGATTTTTAATTATTGATGCTAAATTTTTTACAAGTGGCCATTTTTTACAGCCATTTATATTATTTATTTTATATATATTCTCTACTGAGAAGACAAAAAAACTGAAAAATTATTAAAGATATTTAAAAATACAATTTTTAAAACTTCACAAATTATACAATCTTCACTTGAAAATATAAAAGTAATTACAATTGTACTGTAACATAACTTGAAACGTATATACACACATCACTTATATACATTCACACACACACACATCGATTTCCTATTATGCAAAAGAAATATTGTTTACCGACCGATTAGATATACTATATATTGAAAAGGAGAGGGAGCTTCAATGTATGTAAATAATTCTTCAGGACAGCTTCTAAGTTTTCTTGCCTGTGTGTGTCTCAATGGTCTCAACGGTTTCAACTGAAAAGGAAGGTTCTATCTTTGATATGTAAAATATTGCTTTGTTGCAATTGTTTTATTGTTGAAGCGAGGTAGTTATGTGCAACTTAACCTATCGCAGCATAGTAACATACATATTCTTCAAATAAAGGTACGTGACAAGTACAAAGATTGCCAATCATCTTTGTAGCCGGCAACAAAATATTTTAAACATATTTAATACATATTGAAAGAGATACGAGCAAAAATGACTTATTTATTCTTTGTGAAAAATAAATATAGTATCTTTCAATTCGCATGTACAAAGAATTTATGACAATAAAAATTATACAATACATATATTTACGAATAAGACGGAGAGAGAGCGAGAGAGAACAATATATTTATATAAGATAAAATCTATGATATATATATATATTTTTTTTTATTTTGAATTTAATCAAGTTTCATTTTAATATATATAACTTGGGAAAAAAAGTTTGTTTATTATGGTCTTATTCTTTTATTCTTGATAGGATCTGCAAACAATGGAACATCATTGTAATTGTGGCAGTACACACGATACAACAGAATTAGGTGTCAATTATAATTTATATGAAAAAATAGATAAAGATAGAGTACAATGTTTAAATGAAGATGAGGAAGGTAGTGGTGCAAAAGTCTTCAAAACATGGGAAAATAGATTAGATAAATCAGAGGTATTCTTAATAAAAATAAAAATTTTAACAATATTTTTTTATAAATCTCAAACATATTTTAATAAGAAATGAAATTTTGTTTCTTGTTTTACACTTTTTAAGTTTATTTTATTTTTTTTGTAAATTTTATTTTAGTATGTCCAAAGTGACATAGATCCTGAACTCCTGTTCAATATACCGTAAGTACTCAAATATTTATATTAAAGATTGTTTCATATTTATACATAGCATGTTGATTTTTTTTGCAGTTTCACAGGAGATGTAAAATTAAAGGGGCTTATTATAATCGGAGATGAGGATTATTCACCCAAAACAGTAAAACTGTGAGTATAAATTAACAAAAAAAATCAATATTCAAAAAATAAAGGATGAAAAATATTTTACTAAATTTGTGTATATCAATAGGTACAAAAATCGACCACACATGGTATTCGATGATGTAAATACTAGCCCGGAACAAGAATTTGAGTTAATCACAGATTTATATGGAGTCCATGAATATCCTGTGAGGTATATATCTGCTCATTTTATTTATATTTGTAAGATTTATGAAATTTTCGTAACTATAATTACAGACAAGATGCTTATACAAGATATTAAAATTATATACAAGATTTAGGCATTATAAATTTTGTTACAGAACAGTAAAATTTTCATCGGTACAGCATTTAAGTCTTCACTTTGTTGGTGATCAAAGTATGGAACAAATTAAAATTTATTATATTGGTCTCAAAGGAGAATGGACTCCAACTCATAAACATGGCGTGACTATTTGTACATATGAAGCACGTCCCTTAATTAGTGATCATCCAAGTGATTTTAATGAAATTAGCAGAGTGATTAAATGATATTTTGATTGAAATCTATTTTTGAAATCTTGATCATAAACATAGGAAACAAATAATATTGAAAAGATACTATTATAATGTACTGTATCCTGTTGTGGAAATTCGTACAAATATGAAATATTTTAATGAAAATCCTGTAATAATAAGAAATTTTGGTAACAGTTTTATTTCAATTACATTTATATCGTTCATATTCTTATTGGAATTATGTAATCTATGATAAGAAATGTACATTAAAGAGTTTACTTACTTAGCAAATATATTGTACATATTTTCATCACATTACACCAGTAACAAACTTCCTGTGTGGCATGGTATATAATTACATTAATTTTCAAATATAAAATAAAATTAGGTTTTATGTGTGAAATTTGATCTTTCCAACGTCCATATCTGAAAACTGCATGCCTAAGTGGAAATCAATAATTTGAAACAATTCAAGTGGTTGAGGTATTCTGCCCGTTTCAAGTTTTGACCAAACAGGAACATCTAAAACGTATAACAAATGCAATCAGACCAAATATTTAACTTACAAATTGTACAAACAACAAGTATAATTTATACTTACCATTAAAATGTATTTCAAATGCTCCTGATGATATCAATTGACCTTCTATTGCATTACAAAGCAAGAAAACCAATACAGAAGAATAAAAACGATTGCTTATACACCATTGCCATACTGATGTTAAGGGCAATCCAAAGTCGACTCCACTTACAATTAGGACAATTACCAATATTTTCAATGTTCCCTAAATATATAAATTTGTATGAAAATAAAATATATAAATCAACATAGGGTCAACATGGAAGCAATGAATTTAATTACCAGTATTTTCGCAAATAACATTTTGTAACCTGGTGGAGTAAAGTTCTCTCCTTCGATGTGAAGTTCCGGATACTTTTGCTTAAGAATATTCACATATTGTTCAAAGGCTTTTCTATAGCCGCATGAGTAGCTGTAATAAGAAAACATTAATTTTATTTAAAAATAATCAAATTTCCAAACAATAATGTACCAACGATCACCTTAAAGTGATATTAAGCTCAACAAGTATCTTGTTAAGCCCATGTTACATTTAACGATCGTTATAACCATTATCTTATAAGACAAAGACGAATGTCTCTAGTTGCGGTTGCTGTGTTTACCAAATAAAAATCAACAAGCTCGATCGTTAATCTTACCAGTAAAAGAATCTTAACGTCGGCCCTGTCTTTGCGCCGAATTTGCTTAATGGCACTTCCTCCAGCTCCTTGCTGTTCGCATCTATGCTGTGCACCAGCAAAATCGCGAGGATACACAGACGTATTAGCCAGCGCATATTTATCCTAATTCATCGAAGAAAAAACAATCACACTCACTCACGCGACAACTAAATGCAACTAAATGCATCGAATTACTGCATAGTATCTCGGCGTATTCTACTTCTACGCGTTCGTTCTCCCTCCTTGACTTTCGCTCTCTCTCTCTCTTTCTCTTCGCGTTACATCGATTTATCGAATCGAGAATATCGATTATTTATTAGCCTAATTTTGCTAAATAATTTTCTACATTTAACGAGAAAAAAGGATTAATTATCCATTATATTAGATCCCAAGCATCCTTATTTCTTATGCTAGTTCTGATCCTTGAAAAATATCATATTCGTTCTGATAGATATCAATAAATTATTCATTATTCGCGTCCCAGAAAATGTAATTATTGCATGTTTGTCGAAGAAATTTTGATCTTTTTTTCGTTTATGTCGACGGCATCCAAAATATAATTTTTTGTTTATTTTATTATCTGCCAGAAATATAAAAAAATTGTTAAGTCGTATATATGAAGTTTTGAAAGAGACTGTACATATGGATGACGTGTACCATCTGATATTGCTGTCATGTTCCCATTGACATTTGTATATAGGTTATGCGTTACTGACTTATAAGCTTTAAAAATCTGAATTCGCGATGAGCGAGAAAAACATTAATTCCGCTTTAGTGCGGCGAGTTAATAAATTATTGGAATCTAGAATAGAACACGATAAGGTATAAACTTTATGATAAATCATAATTATTTATATTTAGATGTTATTTTGTAAACAATCAAAGTTAAATGGATTTTAAAATGTTAAGTGACTGCGATAAAAAGAAAAATGTCACAATTTTGTGTAATATATTTCGTGTGATATATTTTAGGACACGTTAGAAGCTTTGAAAGAGCTGTCGACGTTTTTCACTGAAAACACATTGAACTCTCGCCGAAACTTGCGTAGCAAAATAGAGAGAAGGAGTCTGGCAATAAATGAAGAATTTTTGGCTGCCTTTAAGGAGGTGAAGGCTTCCTTGGATGACGTTTATCAGGATGTTTTAGCAATGAATACAGCTGTACAATCTATGACTAATCGCTTGCAAGTTACGAAAGCTCAAACGTCACAGCTTATAGAACAAACAACAAAGCTCCAGAATGAAAGGTAAGACAACTTATACTTTGAACGATATATAACATCTATCGATAATGATTGCAATATCAATAAAAGGTATTTGTTTTTATTCTTAGTCAAATATTATCCATACAACAGGAAGTTGCGAATGCATTTATAAAAAATTTCCAATTGACTCCATCAGAATTGACCATTTTGCATGGGTCAGCTAGAGAGTCGCCCATAACAGAGGAATTTTTTTCTGTAGTTAATAAAGTACAGGTAATGCATTAAATTTATTCATTTTTGATAGCAATAATTATTTCTGGTGCTTTAATTTTACTGTCAATCTAGGATATTCATGGCAAATGTAGAGTGCTTATGCAGTCTGGTTATCAGACTTTGGCTCTGGACATAATGCAAAGAATGACACTATTGCAAGAAGCAGCTCTTGAAAGACTATATCGATGGACACAAACTCATTGTAAAAATGTAGAAAATGAATGTTTGGCGCCATTACTTGTTAAAGCTATGAGTAAACTTCAAGATAGACCAGTATTATTTAAGTAAGATGATTAACATTTAAGTATAGATATTATATGTATTAAATGTAAACAAAATTGATATTGAATATTTTTAGATATATTCTAGATGAATATTGTGCAACTAAAAGAACCGCCTTAGTGGGATCTTTCATAGATGCATTAACATTAGGAGAAGGCTTTGGTGGAACACCTAATCCTATAGAGATGCATGCTAATGATCCTAAGCGATATATCGGTGATATGCTCGCTTGGTTGCATCAAGTAATTCCTGTAGAGAAAGAGAACATTCTTACCTTAGTGAAAAACTGTGATAAAACAGGTAACAAATGATTTTTCTTTAAATAAAACACATTGTAAAATATAATCTTGTAATATTAAAATGCATTTATTGCAGATGTGTCAGATCAGGTGAAACAAGTGTTAAGCAACATCACAGAAGGATTATGTCATCCTTTAAAGTCGAGAATAGAGTATGTTATATCTACAGAGGCACCAGCAACAGTATTATACTCAGTCACGACTTTAATTAGGTTTTACCACGCCATTATTGAACAAATCATACCCGATAGTGTTTTAGATCAAACACTGTCAGATTTATTGGCCTTGAGCGAGAAAAGCTTTCTGAGCAGGTTGCAAAGAGAAACGAGAATCGCTCTTGGAGAGCGCGCAGAACCTCCTGGAAGTGATTTAATTCCTGCTCCATCTGTTTCTAGATTGTTATCGCTTCTAAATGAAATATTGTCTGTTGCCAGTATAGCTGAAGATAGGGAAAAGGACATGCTACAAGTATGTATAGCAAAAATATTTTTTTCTGTATTTTAATATTTATTATATGTTACTTTGCATATGGTTGACAGATTGTGTCGTGTATTATTGACCCATTACTTCAAGAAGTTAATGAAACAGCGTCTAGATTACCAACAGTGGATATGGCTGTTTATCTTCTCAATTGCATGCATCAGATACAATCGACGCTAGCATTGTACGAATACATGGATCAGAGATTAGAAAGGTTACAGGTGATTGGTTAGTTTTTATCTAAAAGATAGAATTAAATATAATTGTGAAATTATATCGAAGTTATTTCCTTGCTTTTGGCATCTACTTGTACTTCATGCATCTATTTTTGGCTATTATTGACGTTATAACTGCAAATAATATGATTCAGGCACAATCAGATGCGCAAATCGACACGCTTACATCAGAACAGGCTAGTTCATTGGTAGCGCACTTGAATCTTGGTTCGATTTATACTATTTTGCAAGGACGTGAGCAGGGACCACTCTCATCCATACCTGGCATGGATGCCCTCAGTGTGAAAGAATTCACTGTGAGTGCGATTCAGTTTAAATGACATACAATTGTTTGCTGACATCATACTTAATATATTAATTCTTTACGTAGAATAAATTAGAGGCGTTCCTGGTAATGCCGGATGTCTTGCTACTGCCACAAATAAGTTTATTACAAAGCAACAATCATCGTACGATTACTCAGAAGCGATCGTTTGAAGTAATTGGAGCTATATATAAACAATTGTACGATTCCTGTCACAATCCGAAAAATTTGTATCAAAATCCTAGCAGCCTCTTTTCCAGAACACCCGAAGAACTTCTCCAGACATTAATTTCTCAATAAGTGTGTATTTTTCTTACAGACCTTCAAAGATGTACACACTACATGTATACAATTAGACGATAATAAATCGTATTAAAAAATGAATATTTAATCCTTTATAAACGCAAGATATATCGATATAATTAGCTTATTTAACCACGAATTTATCTCCTCTTATCGAGAAATTTCGATAAGACATTCAAATTTAATATCTCGTGGCGCCAGTGCTCGCGATTGGTGCGCGATTTCGGAGCGTAGGTAACGACGAGCGCTGATTGGCCACGCGGGACGCGTCGCCGCGACGGCGCCTTGCGCGGCGATTGGCCCGGCGTTCTCAGTCAGTCGCCAGTCTGGTGCGGTGGAATGTGGTTGCGTTTGCATCTTGTTCGCGCGTCTCTCATTCTCATTCATCCGTCTGTGTTGTAGTAGTGCGCGCAGCTCATCAACGTCATCGTCATCGTCGGTTAGCGACGTTGTCGACAACAATTCCCAAACTCGGACGGTCATCGCGCTTCTGTAGAGAGAGAAGAAGAGAGAGAGAGAGAGACAGAGAGAGGGAGGCAGACTCGTCGTCGACGCCGCGCGTCACATCACGGCTGCCGTCAGACGCGAAATGCGGCGCCGACGCAACGCACGCAGTGAAATATAACTCCGGCGCCGCGGATAACTCGACGCATACCATGGACCACCACCTAACGTCGGCACTCGGTGACGCGCACAAAGGACGGATGGAAAGCGACGGTAGTGCGTGAAGCGGGTGTGCGAGAGAGCGTACAGCGAGAGAGAGAAAGAGAGAAGTGCGGGAGCAAGATGGCGGAATCGAGCTATTATCAGGTGAGTCTCTCTACGCATCTCTTCCTTTACGAATCTCGGGCGCGCTCTTCGAGTCACGGAGGCCATAATCGGTCACCTTTCTCGGGACGCGGATCCTCGCGAAGAACGCTTTTCCCTTTACCCTTCTCCCTCGCGGGGCGCGTACACTTGTACGGTGGCTCCAGGTGTGAGGGGCGGGAGGAAGAAAGGCAGATCGCGCAGGCTTTCCCTCATCGCGATGACGGGAAATCGACGCTGTTTTCGTCGCTGCTTGGCGACGAGCGTACTCTCGAGCCGACCAGAGAACCAAGCGTGATGGATCGCGCACACCTGATGTGCATCCGATTTCTTCCTCCCTCGCCTGCTACCTGCGCCCATCGTTCGCGTTATTTTGGCTCCGTTCAACGGCTCTCGCTGTGTTTCCTTCCAGATTACCGTAGAAAGCATGGAAGGAAAATTTTTAGCCATCGAGAGAATTAAACGACGTTGATGCAACCAGCATCCTAGTTGCGGATTACTCGGCCTAATTGACTCTGCGCTTCGCGGTTTGTCGCTTGCTCCGAGATGGGATTTTTCTATTTACAATGCGAAGGAAAATTAATTCGGGCTCGCTCAGTGCATACGTTACGTTGCTCTTCGCAGGTCGTTAATTTCGCGAATCGTTGCGAATGTTCAGCGTCGAAATTCCAACTCGTCGAAACAATACCGATTTCACTCCCGTAATCGTTTCACTTGATGTATGTAGACGGAGAAGGAAGGAAGGTAAAGTCACAGGCATTGGTGGAACCGGTCCCGACTGACTTTTCGCACCGGTCGGTCCCCGGTAACACCTGCTCCCCCGCGAGCCTTATTTACCGACGAGATCGTCGGATGGGACGTCCGAGAGGAGCGCGTTCGGTCGTGACAACACGAGCGGATCACCGAGATCTCTGGATCGTTTAATATAATACGAATCGGAGAATCGAGAGTCATCGGAATCAGCGTCGATTCTCGCCTCGCGAAACTTTCACGCTTGTAACTGCGAATCTCATTTTCAATAAGGAATTCGACATCGTACTATTCGCTCTTTTAATTCTGTCGAGGATATCGCGGGTGTAATAATTTTAATCGCGAAATATTATAAATTTAATTTTTTTAAATTCTTCCTTGAAAATGGAAAATTGATCACTTGTATGTTGACGCAGCGATTTTCATAGTCATGTACATACATATATACGTGCGCCAGATTAAAATGTTTTTCTCGTAATGCTGTTGTAATGAATTATTAATGGATCAATAATTCAATGCCATCGCAGATGTTAGAGATGTTTTCTAAATTTGACGTTGCGCTCAACACACGTAATGATTCGCCTGGGAGGTTTGCATCAGCAAAAACAATTCTCCATCTCGGAGAAGCGGAGCTCGCGCTTACGTGTGACTCAGACATTGCTCGTTTATATTTCTCAAGCTCCTCAAAGAGCAAAAACGCTCGGGGAAAAAGGAAGTTCCTATGACGTCGCGATGTCTCTTGACCTCTCGGGATTATTGTACATGGCACAAATATTGTGGAATGTATAAAATTAGATCGTGCGTCAGTGTATTAGTGTCGGGCATATTTCGTACGCGAATTCCCCCCTCGCGAGAGAATCTCCTAAATTAATGTCCAGATGCTTTCATTCTCCTTGAAGACAGTTGGAGTTTTCATCATTTCCTATCTCCGTCTGGCAATTTGTAATTTGTACAGTATAATTTGTACTCAAATTATAAAAAGAGATTTTGCAACAATTTTTCACATATTAGCCATTTTAATAAATATAATTAATAATCGCATACTGTTACACAATAATCCAATCAACAGCTGTATATATAAATTACTATACATTTAAATTAATTTATATTTTATAGTATTATTATTTTTTTTATAAATTTATTTTTTTCGTTACAAATATTTTCTATACTAAATTAAGATACAAATTCGTACATGTTTTTCGCGAGAAATTGATAAATTGAATTTATCACGAGCAGCCCAATCACTACATAAAATGGATTGAAAAAAACAACTACGAAAATTTACAAATGGGACCTAATGCGATACGAACGTGCTTATTTACTTAAGTTTATGTACAAATCTCGTAACACAATTACACGTGATGCGATTACATCAAGTTAGGTACATGTTAGCTGAGGAAATTAATCGGTTGTTTTCTTAAGCACCTTCGTCCCCTTTATGTAAGCATCGTGAGTAGACGATAAGCGTGCAGGTTTTGCAGTCGAGTATCGCTGTTATCGGCACGGCTGATAAGAGATAACGGCCCGCATCGGTATCCGTCTCTTCTTCAGTCAGTTCGAATTCTAAAATTCGACTTTGGAGACGCGCGTGTCGGGCTCTCCGATAAAAGCGCCGTTTTGTTACGCATCTAGGTTCCGAGTGTAATAACCATAGTAGAAATACAGTGCGCGGACGTGATATTGTGGATTTTCGCTGCAACAGGTGGTCGACGTTTACTCTGTCCGTGCGATTGCAACTACGGGATTATCGCTCATGGTGATTGTGTGATTCAGCGACGGATTAATCGGAAACTGTTGTTGGTGTTTTTTTTTCTCGTTTCTCAAACACGCGTGTCTTATATCGTGTTATTATTATAAGACGATTATCTCTACGGCGTGTAATCTCTGTATTTCGAGGCATCGCGCGATGCGTTAACAAGGGATAGAAATATCTCAGACATTTTCGTTTCTTATTAAAGTGTATCTCTCACGGAATAAAAATGTCGTTCATCAGTGTGAATAAAAAGAAGAAATTGGGCGCGTGCAGATGCATCTCGTTGACCAAGACCAGTTCTAGATACCTCCGGACTTGCTTCACGCCGCATACGGTACGTTTTGAAATTGCGTCGAACTTTAAATCAGAACTTTAAATTGGAACGCGCTCTTTGGGAAAATCGAACAGCTGACAATTGTCACCGGTGATTCAGAATCACCGACTCGTGGAATGCGATTTGTAGATTCTTTCTATCTTGTTGTACGTTTCGAGTGTAAGTTCGTTATGAGAGCTTAATCGAATATCCTTGAATGTTTCAATGGGCAAACTAATTGAATCGCAACGTGGGGTGACACCCATCGACGCACAATGGACGATGTTATTTCGCGTTAGCATCGCGAGACCGCGAGAGATCGATACTTTCCCCTCCCTCGCGTGTGTTGCTCGCCTAGAGTCTATATCCGTATCTCTCATGAGTAGGCCACATGTCCGCCGCGCTAGACGATTTCCGGTTAGGAGAGGTGTATTTCGCAATGTTTTCTCGCCGATATCTCCGATCATCGACACAATTTCCGCGCTATTATCTTAATACTACCGCGAAATCGTTATTATGGTTGGAATATTAATGCAGGTGTAATGTTGAAAGATTACGCGATCGATATTATATACACGGAAACGCAATATAATATTGATCATCAATCGATGTGAATCATAATATAGATGAAAAGTAAATTGAATATATTTTTAATACCTTCTTTTTTCTAAACTTTCTAAACTTACTGATAGAACGAGAGCTGAAATTTTATTTACGAAATTTAATTTAATTTATTTTTAATTACGGATTGAATTCAAGAATGATTAATCATCGACCTTATCGTTTTATCTTTGCTTTGCCCGAGTCCTGCTCGCAGTAGGCGTCAATAACGCGAAATCTTGGAATCTGTTTCAGGGCGATTACATCAGACACCCGGTTCTTTACGAACTGTCGAACAAGTATGGAGTGGCTGGCAGTGACCAGGGACCCTTGCCCGCTCGTCTCGACGTGCTGCGAGAGCACATACGCCGAGAAATACGCAAGGTATGTCGAGTTTCGCTTACGCCTTCGTCGACTGCAGCTTCTGCGAAGCTCTCTTTTTCTATGTATACACGATAGCTGCTCTCAACACCATTCTGCGTGTTTTCTTTTCCCTCCGTTCTGGGTACCGTCCTCTTTCCTTCTTTCTTAAAAAACCCTACATCTTAAATAATGGTAATAATAATAATAATAATAATAATATTTAGGTTTATTCTTTTATTTTGGAAATTACTTGAATTAATCTTTCCTTGTTTAATCTTGAAACACCCACTGTTTTCAATCTGTGTCTCGAATAAGAAATAGATCGTTTACAATAGATTTAGATATCTATCGTACTAGTAGAGAAACAAAGGATATAGGATTAATTCGCTCATAATTCTGTCATTTCATAATCGATAGTAACGGGTTCTTCAGTAATATTACGTCTCTGGCTATGAGATTACAAGACAGTAGAAAGAAGGTTACGCGCGATTGATCTTTTCGCGTGTATGCTTGTGTTTTAATATCCGGTGCGAGTAGATCTCATGATCGATGATTTCCGGATGAGCGTCTCGGAACATGCGTTTTAAATCACGCTGCGAATGAAAACTTGAGGGTGGTCCGAACGTTTCTGCGACTCATGTGGAAACGAGTTTCGCGTCCGGCGATATACGATTCCCTTTCTCTCTCACTCTCTCTTTTTTTCCCTCGCTATTTCCTCCTGTTCCATCTCTCGGTATTTACTAAGCGTCTTTACGAGAGACTCGTTATGAGCTGTCTTTAACCAGTGCCTACTGTTAATGGATCCACCGCGAAATAGAGCTGTTCGTGTGCAAATGTAATAATATACGATAAGTTTCTTAACGTAGCACATTTTCATAAATGCTTGTTAGCCGGAGCAATTTGCTGCAAACGGTAAGTCAACTATACAGACAGAATAAATGCATATAAAGTGCCTCAGAAAATGATCATTCATTGAGCTATTATTTCGTCTATAATTTTCTCTTCTATTATTTTGTTCTTTGAAATATAAATAGTTTTTTCTTTTTTTTTTTTTTAGTAATTATTATTAAAGAAAAATTATTTTGGTTCAATATTTTGATGCAATAGTTGGATATACGTAATGTAACATGCTCTAGATTAGAAAAATAAAACTCCTATCGAGTGATTCATCGCGAACATTCGCGGCGAATGTGCAACAGCCGGTAATAGAATAGCGAAGGGTATCATTGGGCACGTGTGCGATTTTACGTCTCATTTGCTATACGAAGGAGCGGCACGATGGATGCGCTTTAAGCGAGGCAGTATAATAAATGTATGCAGTTAAATTTCGCGGAACACAAGGCTCCGCTTTTTCGCCCGAAACGAGCAGTGGTCATTCACAACTGCTATTCGATTCGCGATGCACGTGTCTCGCGTGTGCTCTCTTAAACCAAATAAAAATATTTCCGACTAAAATAGTGACACATAATGAGTATTACTGATATTTTCCGTAAAAATGTTCATATTTTGTTCCTCCATATTTTGTTCCTCTTATGTCTCGCTAATTAGTAGTGAGATATCACCGGAAAATTAGTCATCGTGCATATGTAGCTTTTAAGGTTTTTTCTCTTTATTTTAAATTGTTATTTTTTGGGAAAAGAGAGAGCTCTTCCCCTCCATTCACACAAAGATATTTAGAATGAAACACATATTCAAATGAAATTAATATTAAAATTCAAAATAAATTTCTTTATTTTTTAAAGATATGATAAACCTATCTAAAAATAAATAACACTTAAATTCAAATATTTCTGTAATAAAATATCATTATAAAAAAATTTATCATATAAATAATATTATATGAGATACTTAAAATACCATTGATTGAAACAGTCTCTATCTCTGCAACTTTCAATGAGATTTCACTATTTGCAATATTTTGCTTATAATTGAGAACAATATTTATATCAGTGATAATTTTATTTATGAATTTTTGCATTCTCTCTTCGTAGGAATTGAAGATAAAGGCTGGTGCAGAGAAGCTGAGAGAGGTCGCGACCGATCGCAAGTCACTCTCCGACGTCGCGACGATCGTGAAGAAGGCCAACAGCAAGCTGAACGAACTCCAGGCGGAGCTCCAGCAGCTCGAGAGTCAAATTATACTGACACAGGGCCAGCCCCAATCGCCGCAACAGAATCACTCCAATGGTCAAGGTTCGTAAAGCACAGCCATGAAAAGATACTATCTCTTATATTTGCTTCAAGTTTCTTCCAAGACGATCATGAGCGAATTTTATGTAATGAAACGCCGTCTTCAATCTCGATCTCGCGACAATCATCGTAGAAAATACTAATAACGAGACATTTTCTCGTCGGTTTACGACTTAATTTAATAGATATTATTACATGAATCAGCATAAAATATAGAAAGTTGTAAGCAATTAAAATGTACTTTGGAATTCAAGGCTATTATACGATAAGCGCGTATCGTGTTATTAAATATTCGAGAAATCTTTTTCCATTTTCGAAAGCCATTTCTGATAATTTCACGTTTATATTATTACTCGCAGCAATTATATTTTTCTACTGTTTATTTATCGTGTATCGATAGATATAATATAGTTAATGTTCCGGTATACAGCTCCCTGACCACGCTAACGATGGTTCTATGTCGTTAACGAGGGAACACTTAATAACTTCACCCGCTAACGAGGCGACGTCTTCGGGTAAAGCTCGTCCAAGCATGCCGGGAGCTAGACGTCCTATGTCGCCATTATGTCGTCGACAAATCAAGCGTATCTCTTCGACGCAATGACGTTTCTGACTCATCGATCGTTATATCTCTGGTAGATATGAATCCATATATTAAAGTTAATGGTCGATGAGATAAATATAAAGAAATAGAGAGATAAAGAAAGGGAGATAAATATAGCGAGGGATATATTCTTCTCATCGTAATCGTTCGATTAATCAACAATTATAATAATATATGAAAATGAACATGCTTTGATATTAAACTAACATTATTCTTTCTCTCTTTCGACATTGATCTGTGTATCAGGTGGACAGCTCCGTGCTGTTTGCGATTCGATCTAACGAATGTATACACGCGCGACGGGTTAAAACGGCATTCAATTCCACGCAATCACTAACATTTTCGATCAGCAATAAAGGGACGGTAATTATGCATCTGCGTGTCGACTTTCCTTTAGCTCGAAATCCCTCTCTGTTCCTACCGCGGGAAATGTAAATTGGGAATGATTAACAGAATTCTTTATAATCAGAGGTCGTGGCCGTCTCTCAGTATTGCAGTATCGCGTGTTTGTCGAGTTGATAATATAAATTTAATCTCGATGACTTATTTTATTTAACGCTATCGTTTGACTGTGAATGTTTCTCAGTACTGAATATTTAAAGAGAAATTGGTTTCAAGGAGATTTATTCATTTATATCGCGCGTCACTGTTTTAAATCCTTATCGGACGATGGTTTTATACGATCGTATATGTAAAATTAAAATAGGCTAGCCTAACACGTTCACTTGTGAGCAAAGAATCGTTTGACTCTCGAGGAATATTTTTCGCTGCGTTACTTCGCGATGAGTTGTACAGAGGAACTACAGTCTTGCGTTCGCTTTGAATTGACGGTAAGTGGTAGCGGCTATTTATATCTTGGACCTCGACTCTTGGCTCTCTCTGTATCCACTCCAGTTAAGTCAGTCATCATCGTGTATTCGGTCTCGAGATTCAGCAACCTGTCTTGGGGGTGTCTCATTCAGTTTTCCTCGGTACGATTCCAATCGGCCGCGACGAGATTGAATGCAAGGCGGTTCTGCCATTAATATTCAAAAGCTCAACGATCACGACAGATGATAAATGTCAAACTTGGAGCATTTGATTCGAAATAAATCGATTCGATCGGGAGACTACGGTTTCGGAATCTCGCGGGAGAAAGTCCGACTCTCCTCTCGTCCCTCCTCGATGTCTCGCGATGGCGCAAAGCAGACGCCGACGACGACGCTCGTTCACTTTCCAGTTCCGCCGAGACGGCGAAAACGCGCGTGCACGTCTCCGTGTGTGTAAACGCACACATGCACGAGACGATCGAGAGCGCGTTACGAGAGAGGCGATCGGATCGAGCGATCGCGAGTACCGTTACACGTGCGTACACCTTCGGGGCCCGAAGCTCTCCATCGGGCACTCCTGCTCTCCCTCCGCGATCACCACCACCGCGTTCTCATCGCTGTATATCGAGATCGCGTTACGGCCGAATCGAACCCACGCTTTCGCATTCCATCGTCGACGCTCTCCGGGGAAGTCCTTCTCCTCCTTCCGTCTGCCCGCCCCATCTCTTATAAACTACCTGTCCCGGGCCCGATTTAAGATCCAGCCAAAATCCCGCACGTTAGAGGCATAAAATTCTGCGGAGAAATGATTAAAGCGGAGAGGCTAGAATCTTTTTTTATTGCTAATTTTTTTATTTCTTTCCATCAGAAATGTACAATATTTTTGACGAATCGCTATAAACAAAAAACTTTATTATAAAAATAAATATTTTACATTTTCCTCCTTTATTCTCAACGTGTATAAATTACTTTGATTATCTTTTCGTGGAGGGAATCCCGGATGAATCACGATTCAGCGATATGTTTGCGCTACCCGATCGCGGAAATTCTGCTAGATTTAGATACGAAACGAATCGATTTCAAGCTTATTGACCACGCGATACCGCATGAATTTATGAAGTGCAGTTTATCGGACATGTGCACGAAGTACGTAACCCGGTAACGGTACGAGGGCCGGGAATTTATGAGTTAATAAATTTTAAGTGGCCGCGCGTACAGTTCGCAACTAAATAAGTTACTTGAGTCGTTATTTAAAGCGCTGCCACCGTCCTGCAACATCAAAGTTCTTGCTTTCGTGATTGAAATATTCGCGGTTTTGCGAGATCGAAAATCGTAGAATTATTCATCAGTAACGTAATAATAACACAAGCTCGATTGTTGGATTATTTAATTTATAATAATTTCTCTCTCCCTCTCTCTGTCTCTCTCTCTCCCATGCGCGTACATATAATGCATTGTTTATCATTTATTAAAATTAAATAAAAATATCCCATAATTATCAAATATATATATATATATATATATACACATCAAACGTACGATTAATGAAATTCCACAATGTCTGTCGGATGCCTGTCTGCTGCACGAGCGCATTGCGTTCTCGTAATTGGAGCAACGATTCACATTCACCTCAGAGCTCGTAAAACCTCTTAATCGAGTTGGCTGCTCCCTTTTCGCCGATTACAAATCGGTACGCCTCCTGTGATCTTTATTACATGCAGAGAGACGTCGTTTTACGATCTCGATGTTTGTTCTCGTCGACGCTGCGTCGTTCCACACGCGCATCAAGACATAATTACGTTTGATTATGTCATCAAGATATATTGGTAGAACGCTGTAATCTAGAAAAATCATAGTGTAAAAATATCCTCGAAGTATCTTTTCTAACATACCTGTGACGCAAATATTATGACGATGATAAATTTATCACGGAATCCCAGATTCTCGAGCTAGTAAATCGGCAAACAGATTAGATCGATAAACCTCATTGAACTGTGAGATCTCTTATTTCGTTCGTGATATCGGTGCTGTCTATGCGCTCTCCTCTCGCTCGCATTCGCGGATGACAATTGACAATGACGCCTACTATCATTCAATGATTGTGGATAACCGATAGGTTCCGGTAGCCCTCCTCCCTCCTCCCTCCTGGCCATATCAACCATTATCGAGGGTATCACAACGAGCGTCATTCTCGCAGATAATTATCCAATTCATCTCCTCGTTGCATCTCGGGGAAATTGCACGTCACGAACGCACTGCGCGTGGATCAGCAGTGCGGTATTGCTCGAGTATCCTTATCTCGAGTGATGTTCGCTTAACGGCCGCCACATTACGCGCTTTTTAACGCAGCACTTTCTATCAAACCGGTCCCGATTTTCTCGATCGCCAACCGATCGGTGGCTCTATGCTAATAACTTAACTGCTACTTCGCCGAATGCCCGGGGTTACCCACCGGTAGGTTTTTCGAAGCGTATGCTAATCCCTCGGTACGCTTTTGCCGTTTATGCAAATCGCCGCCTCGGGTATATTTATGGTAAAATTTGTCCGGTGCGCGATAAAAAACTGCGCCAAAGGTTACCGGAGCATCGAGACAGTTCTACTGAAGATATTACAAGGTGTTAAGTCTCGCGTTCTTGCTACATAGATTACATATCATTTGCAAATATGGTTGCTACCGACGAGGATGCGTCATCCTCAACTCGATTGTTCTTTAAAAAAGGAACAAGAAAAAATGCCATTTTTTCTGCATCCTGTAATTTACGGCAATTTTTTGTATCTTAAGAAACGCACAGTAACATGTTTCGTAACATCTGCGAAATTATTATCTTGCGTTTTTTTACAATCTCGGTATAAAGTTTCTAGCTGGTTTCAAAATTTTTTTAAAGTTTCTTAATCTTTTCCTTGAAGGAGTTCTTGGAGATTAAAAAATAAAGTTGATAATAATATGTTTATTTCAATGAAGATCAATTTGAATTAGACGTTCTTTGCAATAGAGTCGGAGCGCTGTCTGGAAATAAGAAAATATCAAGATAATATTAGATTTTAGAATAAAAAAATAATAATCTTACAGAGGTCTATTAACGTAAGCGTTTGTTATACAACGACATGTTAGAGGAATACAAACGTTCGTATGTCGAGCTGGCTTAGACTTATAAATAAAGTGCTTCGCGCACTCGCGTCTCTCCCATACGGTAATTATTTTAATCAATGCCGTAATAAGGATGTTGCAGACTTAACCACCACACACGAACAATCGTTTCTTACATGCATTAACGAACTGCACAAGAGCTCTCCCTCACGATGCGTTCATGCTTTATGAATCGCTAACTCACGCTCGCTGCAGAGAGATGGAACAGCTTTGACATGAACGCAAAGTTATGAATGGGACCCGAGAGAGAAGACAACATCGTGCAATGATAGCGCAATGCATATTGCGGTTACGTGTACAACCGCATATAATTTCCGACTATTATCGGGGATCATCATACGTATAAATTTTTGCCCTGCGGCTTCGCGTATTAACGTTGAATTTTTTAAGAGGTAAATTAAACAAAAAGAGTTTACGTTCTCTTTGTCCGATGGATTTTTTCAGGTCCGGAGGGATATTAAGTACCCTTTCGTCTAAGCATACACGGGACTGACAAAGGCAGCTGCTTGCACTCGATGGCCCGATAGTTGTGCGTTTTGCATAACTATCGCTACTTCAATTGCCTTTTCTTTTACTTTCGCTGCTAGCGAGAAGACGGCAATTATCCGCGTCTCGAGTCTCTCTCTCTCTCTCTCTCTCTCTCTCTCTCTCTCTCTCTCTCTCTCTCTCTCTCTTTCTTCGAAAGGGTTGCGTGTGCCACACTCGTCCGAGTCGTTGAACCGGTAAAAGTAGCCACGAGTGAGCCGCAGTCACCTTGCGTACCACCCTTCCGTTTTTTCTTCCTCGTCAAACTCGCGCAACGATAATCTCTCGGTTCGTTTCGCGCCATGGGACGCCGAGAAAAGAGAGGTAGGGGGACAAGCAATTGAAAGAAGAACCAGAGGAAGAGGAGGGGATGTGGTGCGACGAGGACGTTGGTGGTGGTATCAAAAACAAGGAAGGCCTTTGTCGGCCCCCGCAAGGGCAGAGACGCGGAATATAATGGGGCACGTGTTCGGCCGAGCTGCGCTAATGACACGGTTTCGCCGGGGCTCTCTCGATGCCGCATTGTCCCCGCAAACTCTTTCATGCCGCCTCCACCTCCACCTCCGTCGTTTTCGCCGCATTGTGCAGTGCACCCGTGTGCGTATCTATGTCTGTGAACTCTCCTCCTCGTTTCTCTTCATGTTATATCCACCTATGCGCCGATCCGAGAATAATAGCCGTTCCGCGATTGTCCGAGAGGACTGTCAACGATACCGCGAGAATCGATAAAATTTATTTATGAACGGGAAGTTTGTTGGAGCTTCAACTCTTCTGCGATCGGCTATAATTAGATTCTTGCCAATCAGATGCTCTTTATAGCGAAGAATACATTATGGAAAAGATCTATTTATATTGATGAATATCAAATATTTCGATAAATAAACGCGTGTCGGAAATAATATTCTTTCTTGCATGTAACTCTAGTATCAATTCTATCTAATCCAATATATATTTGCCTTCCTAGAATATGTCAGAATTATGCATCTCAAACTAAACGGACATAAATAACATTATGAATATTAGAAGTATGGCAATCGTTCGTGCCAGAATGAAACGATTGTTAGAATGCATTTTTGGTGAGTTGAAGTATTCGCATGAAAAATCGAATATCCGCTTCTCGTCCGCGCCCTCGCCTCGCCTTATTCGGACATGTCGATGTGTTCTCGTATGCATAGACGGTATATGTACGAGCGTGTTGCTCCCGTCCGTTTGTTTCATCGGCATCGAACGGACGCCACGCATCGTTTATCGTATGTGCACGCGTGGGTGTTTGTACATGCGTGTGTGTGTACATGCGGGGAAATCGTGGAACCGTGGCGTGCACGTGTTTGTGGTGGCTTCCTCGCAGGTACGAGCGCATAATGGGGCATATTTCAATAGAGGAAAAAGTGCCCCACATCGAATCACTAACGAGCTCTAAATTCGATGCGTCGGTCGCATGCGTAGACCAATAATAATGACCAACGACGATGTAAATTGCCCCCTCGAAAATCGTATGCAATTAGTCTTAAAATAACGACGCGTTTTATTTCGCAAACTGACGTTTCTTTTTTTTTTTTTCGTTGAACCTATTATACGAAAGACCGATTCAACTTTTCACCAACAATGCGAAGCACGAATAACGATGCGACATTCTTTGTGCAAATATCCTTAATGAGGGGGATTCGCGATTAAGGACGCATTAGAGCGCGTCCGCGTTATTAAAATATACACGTATAATAAAAGATTACGTAAGGTACATTGATTAATGTAATTGCTGCAAGTTCCGGCGGGCGCGGAAATAACGCTCGTAATTACCGACCTGCGGTTCCCACACTGTTCCGGTACGAGTTATAAATGTGCATTTTATTGTGCATTGTGTAATATAATATTATTACATTACGTTTATATATATTGTTCGTATATAAATTGTAGCCGCAAGTTGATTTGCATATATAACGATTCGCGCACGCCAGAGAGATTCTACGTCTCTTAGAGATGTTTATTGTAATAGACAGGTGAAATGAGTGCGTAGCGAGGAGAGGAAGAGCGATGGGAAATTCCGTAACGGTGCGTTTCTGAAACAAAGCGGAACGTCACTCTTTTTTTTTACCACACTGCCTGCGGACTCGAATACGTGGGAGTCGACACAGAGTCGTTAACGTGTCAGCATTGGGTTATGGAAAGTAGGATCCGAGCGCCGTATGCAATCTCGTCGTCAAATCATAGAGATTGTCGGATACGAGACCCGCACGCGTCTGCGGCAAGAACGCGATTCGCTTATGCGATGATGCGAAAAATCCTGACATGATACGAAGAAAGATATTCGCGGAAGTAAGCGTAAGAAAGCGCGAGCGTAGGAATGTGTTTGGAGAAAAATTTATCAAACTTTATTTTCGCTCCCGTCGTTTAGCATTGTGGGTGTCGCTAAATACATTAGATCATATCATCGGATTCTTTCATTTCGTGAACGCTTCTATTTTTGTTTCAGACACGCCTCTATCACCGATGGGGCCTTCGTCGCCGAGTCAGGAAGGTCTATTCACGGATCTTCGGCTTCTGTCCTTGGAGAAGCAGCTCAATATCGAACTGAAGGTAGATGCCGCTAAAGAGAGCCACTGACTACATTTCCCGATCGCACATAGGTGATCGTGATACACTTGACGAACACGGATGATGTCACGTGATATCAAAACTATCATATTATCAACTATCATGTTTTCTATGAATTGTTACGCGCATACATGTTATCGCAGAATATTCGATAAGACAATGAGTGTTCCCTTGTCTTCATTAGTAATACAATAATTATCGATATTTTTCTCGGTATGATTCAGAATAATTATCGTTAAAACGTTGTTCGACGCTTTCTGCAAACAACTTTGGTAGTTCTCTTTCACTTTTCTTGTATCAGAGCCTTGCGTGAGTCAGCGCAGTGAGCCGCAAGTTTTTCCCCCTACTAAAAATAATCTCTCGTTATATCACGCGAGGATTTGTGAAATAATTAGAATAATACGTTCAACTCTTCCCGATTGTTACGTATTAATGCAATGTTTTAATTGCCCCCAATTATCTTTTATATTCTTCTTCCCATCTTTTTTTTTTTTTAAAAAAAAGGTCAGTTTTTATGTACATTGTAGATAACATAAATAACATAAGTTTATACTAATTTCAATATTATTTTAATAGATAGTTGTACGAACTCTTGCCATTTATATTTGCTACAGGTCAAGCAAGGTGCTGAAAATATGATACAGAGTTTAACGAGCGGCCATCGTGATAAGAAACTGCTACAGGAGGCTCAACAAATGTTAGACGATTCTCGCGCCAAAATCGAGTTCCTACGCATGCGGATAATGAAGGTGCGCCAGGCGCGACAGCAGCAGCAACGAGATGACTCGTTGCCACCGAATGGCGAAGCATCTAGCAATAAAGGTATATTGGTTTTATTAATGCCTGGAACGAGAATTTGAGAGAAAGATAAAACAGTTGAAAATATATATGTATTTAAAAATTTTTTTTTTGCAAATAAAATAATCGACAAAACTTTTCACCGACATCGAATGCGATAAATTTAAGAAATGCATGATTTAAATTTGTGATATTATTTATCCAATATAGATCTCTTTTTAAAAACTATTGCGCTTATTTAATTATATACGCGAGAATACATATGTCAGAAGAAGATTCGGTAAATTATCTCGGACACATTGTATTGTCGACTTTTTATTCCAATTGTTTGAACGACCAGTTAAACTGTATACATTTCATTGTTAACGTAAAGTTTACACGGAACAGCGAAACAGTAAGCTGACATTTACCGCAGCAATGAAATTGTTCCAGAACGCGATACGCGTTCGTATCTCATCCAGGAATTTGTATGCCACGTATTCAGTATAGAAGTACAATGTGGTTACGTTCGTCATTCATGAATAAATGGCATTTCTTGGAAGGAAGCGCTTTGTTCGTAGAAGGATATATTCGTTACGCGCGTAATGGTATGCTTTTTCCATGATAGGCACGATATAAAGTATGTGGGTAGATATACGTTATATAAGAAGATTATTACGCGCGTGCGTTGTTGATACGCGAGGAAACTTTGTATGACTTGCGAATGCAATTTTGTGACGAATATAACATAAATAATAAATGTAATAATGTGCTTATAGATAGGTACGAGCCCAGCTTGGAGCTCGCGTTGGAAGAGAGGGTGGAGGAGCTGCGGCATCGATTACGAATAGAGGCAGCTGTCGTAGAAGGTGCCAAGAACGTGATACGTCTTCTACAAAGTGCCAGAGTCGCTGATAAGAAGGCCTTAACCGAGGTAGGTGATTTATTTCCTCCCCAATTTGCTGCCCGTCAAAGGTAGAAGTGAATGAAGCGCGGGGATCTGTACGCGACATATAATCCGCGAAAGGCTTTTGTAATATACGCGCGCGCGCGTATGTGTAACGTTAAAGGAAGCCATTTACGTCATACTTCTCTGACACAGCTGTTTCGAAACGATAATAATGTGGAAACTGTCTGACTTCACCTCTCTCGATGAAAATATCTTATAATGCGCGGACAATTGCTGGTTCTAGTAAAAGATGAATGTTTTTTAAGAATTGATAGATGACATGTATGTGGGAATATCTCATTTTTTATTTGTGGAATTTTAAAAACTTATATATAATATATATAGAGAATATTTTTCTCTATTTAATTATATAAGTTGGACAATTTTATAAATATATATATATATATATATATATATATTTTTTTTTTATAGAAAATTATATATATATATATATATATATATTTATTTATTTATAGAAAATTATTATAAATATACGTATGTATATATATATACATATATATATAATAATTTTCTATAAAATTATCAAACTTCTAAACTTATAATTGAATAGAAGAACTTTTTTAAACAAAGTAGTCATTCTATGATAATTGAATTATCGTTGGAGACTGATTTCGTTCGAGGCCTCGGCGATGAAAGAGCGTTTCTCGGTTACTCCGGAAAACGACTTCTCGTCGACAGCCAGATTGCGATGTCGGCAGCGTAGAACGTGTCGACGTGGACCCCGTGGAGAATCGGTGGCGACTCTATACGCGCATTTCTCAAAATAGCCCTATCCGCACCACCCCGCCGTACATCTCGTGACGCCTTTTCGGGTCGCGCTTAGTTACCGTCTCTCGAGGAGGACTGGCATCATCATCCAGTATCCAGTAAGCACCCCGCGATAAACCGACATGTGTGCACTGGCCGACCGCGAAGGAGGTGCTCGTGCGATGTATACATTTCCGAGTGGATATCCGTTCAGAAAGATATCGATCATACATTCGGATAATCGCGGCTAGTTAATTATACGATTTAAATCCGAAGACTGAGACACAAAGCCGTCCACGAATGTTACGTCGCCCCCACTCACCGAACTCCAAGAAGATTGACGTCTGTTTCAAAATTGGTTTGAGCTGTCAGGAGGCCTATATATTAAATCGAACGTCTCTGACCGTCTGAGTCATAAACAACCCATTACTTATCGCGAAAATTGGAATCTTGTTCCATCTTTTTGATGTGTGTGCGTGTATAACGTATGTGAATTATTCAGAGAGAAATCGCCATTTTTCAGAGATCATAAGTGCGAAAAAATAATTTCACGTGCACGTAAGATATTCAAATTCATCTCTGACCGCCATTCAGCGAGACTAAATGGTACAAGCGAGATTTTCGAAGAGATTAGCGCATCGGTTTTCGTAACATGGCACATGACTGGCTCGATGACTATGCATCATTATTGCGCACATTTATTATTGCGTCGGTGGTCGTCGTCATATATACGAAAAGTGCCGCCTTATTCCAGATATATTCTTAGTGCGACTGTACGTTGCGCTCCAAATTTATATTGTGCTAATTATACGCGTCTCGTCGTCGCTCAGTTTGTTGCAAGAGACAAAGAGAGACCACGGTGGTTGCAACGATTGCGGAAGTTGTTGTGTAATACTCAAACGACAAACTGACAAGTCACAAGGGAGGAAAGGAGGGGGATTTCGTGCAACGAAATTATTCAATACGAGGAAGCTACTTTGATGAATTGGATTTTTTTCGAGCATCGACGTTAGAGTTTTTTTATCAGCGATGTTGTCGGAACGAAAAGAAACTATTCGCGCTACGATAGTTCTCGAATATACGGAAATCCGAAAATAGATCAAGTAACAGGAATATGCAATATCGCAGTATTACTATCCTTCTGCGAAAAACTGTGCTACAGACGAAACTGTGAAGCACGAGCATGACTCAACTCGAAGAGACGTTATTATATAAGATCTCTCTTCGATGCATCACGGAATCGGTCGAGAGAATTGCATGAGCGACCGCAAGTGTCACGCGTAATCATCAGCAAAACTTTGTGTAGAGAAAAAGAGAGAAAGAGAGAGACACAAATCCATGAACAGAAGAAGAATTCGGACGAGAGAACCGGAACATCGTCTCCTGAAGAAGAAGAAGAGGGCGGATCGTTCGGATGTTTCCCTATCGCGGCAAGAGAGCCGATTGAAGAACGACAATGTCCTGCGGTGGATAAAGGCGCGACGACGGAGATTGAGGAAGAGGAGAGGCGCGAGATGTACGGACGTAAAGATAATTCGGCGGGCGACGGAGGTGCGAGTCAGGTGCCACCGTGGCTCGTGCGCGCCGAAGTCACGATCCGTCATGGCGACACGGTGACCTCCGAGACCGTGCAAATGCCGCCGGGCACCACCACGACCGCCGACGCGGGTGGCATCCGCATGATTTGTCGCTGGAACACAAACGAGCCGTCCAACTCCACGACAGCCGTGCCAATCACCGATGCGTTTCCGTCATCCTCGGGCGGTTTCGGCTTTCAACGGGGAAATATACTGTTCACGTCCACGCCGCCCGAGAGACCGTCCCAGAAATCGTCAAATGACAGATCCTACACTCTACCGCGTTCAAGCTCATCGGGCAACGAAGACTCTGTCTTGTCCAGGAGCCGAGCCAATGATTCCGGCTACAATAGTGAACAGTTCTCGCGCGCCTACTCCAGTCTACCTTCGCGACGTCCGTCTCAGCAATATAATCGTCGGTGTAAGAGCACGTGTAAGATTGTACTGTCCACTACTCCTGAGAAACCCGCGAGTTCCATCGAATCTGTCGATTCCTGGCATCATCGGCCCTCCTCGCACCAACGTTTCTCCCGTCAACAATTCAGCGCGGTTCCAGAAGTCTGCGAAGATTGCGCAGAGGGAAGCGCATCGAGCGCCTTCACCACGCATTTTTGCACTCGCGTCGCGGAAAAGACCGCGAGTAACCGGGCCACAGCGATCAGCAGAGACGCGGCTTCGCAAACCACCGACATCGAATCGGTGCGGTCTTCTTCAACTGTGAAAAGTAGTAGAGTTGGGAGGAGATTAGGCGCTGGTGCCTACAAATCTGACGAGCAAAAAAAGAAGGAGGTGAGTCATTCTTGATGGGTTTTGAATGTAAAAAAATTTATTGTATTGTGAGTGAATCTGGAATATTATGATTGTCTTATCTTCCAGCAGGAAATTCGATCGTCTCCAGCATCGATTGAGACCACCAGTTCCGGTCCTCCCATTGACACGGAAAAATCGGATTCTTCCGCGAAAGAGAACAGCAGTAGCAAACGCAAGTCGCGGACGGTACATATCGACGTGTATTGCACAGGATCCGACGACGACGCCAGCACAGACACGACCAGCGAGAACGAACGCAGCACGCCCATGACCGTTTTTGAAAACGAAGATGTCAAAGTCACTCATACGCAGGCAACGAATAACTTACCGCGGGGATTCCAGGACGCGAATGCGTTCCTAAAGCGCAGCGCTGAACGACGATGCGCGAGCTTTCGAAATACACCGATGAGAATGCCCTCGTTGGCCAGTTCCAAGGGATACGACAGCGACGAGGTGCTGAGCTCTCTCTATCCCTCGCGATTCAGTTCGTATAGCGGGATACGAGATCTAGATTCCGCTCCGTCTATGGCGTCATCCAGTACAGCTCTCTCTCCGTGCGATTCGACGATTATGACGTCATCGAAGGACACGTTCTCGGACATCGAATCCCTGATCAACAGTAAATCCGGCTTGACTCCTTGTGATAGCTTTGAATACGCCAATTCCGCGGATCGTGATAGAATACGTAAAATGGATATTTTAGCGAAAGCCGGTGATGAAAAGAAGAAGACTTGGCGATCGCCGCAAATCGAACGGAAGCATCTCCTACAAAATAGGAAGATGAGGGAGTACTTGGAGAAACACGAGATAGGTTGGTCATCTGGAGAAAGTGCCGAGGATTCCGATGAGAGTGGAGCAGTTGGTTGGAATTTCATAGCCGGCGATGACAAGTCACTCGTTAAAAAAGATTCGATCATACATCGCACGAACAAGGACCAAACGAAAGAATCCAATGCGACACGCGGCAATTATGTCCCGTATTCGAATGTTCTACGTGATCGTATCGGTCCGTTTAGATCCAAGAGCCCGTCTCCTCTTCCTTCAACCATACCCTCCCGCGTAACGTCTCCCTTTGCTGCGCCATACGGAGAAAGAACTGATCATATTATGAAAGCTTCAAGATTTGGAACTGTAATCAGCGCGTTTCGAAAGCCCGGTCATCATATAGGTCCGTCGAAAAATCCAACGTGTACGTGCGAACATTGCCGAAGATATTTCGAGGAAGGAGCAACGAGAGGACGGGCTTATTCGTTGAGTGAACTCGAACGTCATCCGGCATTCAAGTCACGAAAAGAGTGACATCTGATATTTCGCAATAGCTGTTGAAGATTTGAAACAGCTGATATATCAATTCTGTAGGCTCTTTACACAAGCTTTCCATTTTATTTATTATAAGATATTTGTATGCCATGAATTGCGTTCCATTGTTCACGGTTATTGAAGGACACTGTAAATTTGTACATTGTGATTTGTGTGTTTAATTTATATTTCTCTTGAAATATTCCATATATCATAGCTTTTTTTATCTAAATTATTTCAAAAGAGCTGTTAAACACATTCTGTGTTGAAAATTGAGCATTTATACAAATTAACAAGGATGTATATATTGATTGCGCTGTTAATAAATATTAATTATGTTGAATATCATATTTGTGTATCTATGTATATAATTATATTCCTTTTGCCAACATTAAACTAATATCATATTAATATTTTATGTATAAGATATCTTATATATAAAAGTATATTTTTTTATAAATTATAAATCACTACAGGCTCAAGCAAGCCTCGCGGAATCCAGTCGAAAATTGGATTTGCTCAGACTGTCCCTTGAACTCAGAAGACAAGAGCTACCACCTGATAGCGGTACTGCAGCTCAATTAAAAAGAGAATTAGCTAGCGTGCAATCGGCTAGTCCAGTTCCTGTTACTTATACATCATTACAACCGTTCCGCGGTCCTTTGGAGAGTAAAACTACCATACCAGCTTCAGTATCGAGATGCGCCGCTGTCACAGGAAAATTAGAAGTATGCCGAATGAGAAAGTACAATGGTATAACTGATGATTTCTTTGTATAACACGCCATGATATGTTTAGGTAAGGCTTATGGGATGTCAAGATTTGGCGGAAGAAGTCCCTGGCCGTACACGGAGAGAACATCCTGCTAGTCCTGATTTACGTAGCTTCGTTAAGGGTGTTAAAGGACTTAGTTCGAGCAAATCGTATAGTGTGAAAGATGAAACAAGCAGTAAGATTTCAATATTTTGTGATTAACGTTAAAAATTGCATTATTTTGAATCTGTCATTGATTGTCATTGTTTCCAGATGACATTATGGCAGTTATAAAATTGGATAATCAAACTGTAGGACAGACTAGCTGGCGTCCATGTTCTCAACAAGCTTGGGACCAAAGGTATAAATTATATACTTAGTTAACAATATTCATGTCAATAATTTTCACGTTGTGTATGCATATATATATTTCTAGGTTTTCCATTGAACTAGATAAATCGAGAGAACTTGAAATAGGCATTTACTGGAAAGATTGGAGATCTCTATGTGCAGTCAAGTTCTTACGTTTAGAGGAATTTATTGATGATGTCCGACATGGCATGGCCTTACAGTTGGAACCGCAAGGTCTCCTGTTCGCGGAAATAAAATTCTTGAATCCAATGATATCGAGAAAGCCTAAGTTGCAACGTCAACGAAAGATTTTCAAACAGCAGGTGAAAAATTTCCCAAGAGCAAATCAAATGAATATAAACGTTGCAACTTGGGGTAGATTGCTTAAACGTTCGGCACCTTCAATGCACAATTCCAGAAGCTCGGAAAGTCCACCGACAGGTAAGACAAATCAATCTCGCTATTTACAAATGTCATGCAAATCTTGCAAAACCTGAAAAAATCTACCATTTCATTTGTAGGACCACAACCATTGCAACTTGTATTTGATACCTCGATAGAAGATAAACCTGAGACTCCCGGCGAAGTGCCTGATCCGGAGAAAGGTGGATTAGGCGGTGCACGGCCTTTGGGAATGTCAACGACGACTAATAGTCCAACTTTACCACGTCCGCCAGAACATCCTCCCCCACCGCCACCAACTGTTACGAAGAAACCATCTATACCTGCACCTGCACCACCTCCTAAATTAGATCAAGAGGTAAGTTTCTTACATGTCTTTTTATATATTATTGTCGTTATTTTTAAATTAAACAAGCTCAAACGTCACACATATGTTGATATGCGATGATATTTGTTGTTTATTGTATAAATATGTATTAGTCACACACAATATCTGCTTTTGCTGTAAGAACCTTTTTTGATAAGATAAGATTGCTCATGTTGCACACATAAATTTATATCATATAATTATTATATATGTGCAACACGATATTATACAGAATGTATATGTAAAAAATTCAATTATATACTCTCTATATATACTGTCTAATCAGTATATATATATATATATAAAATTAATTATATTCAATATATATAATTTATTATACTTATATCATGACATAATTTCTTATACTTTTTAATCACCCTATAATAAAAATATGAATAGTAATGTGTAAAAATGATCTCAAGACTGGGAATCTTGGTTATGGGTTAAAATAGTTTACAAAATAAATGTGTAATATGTGAAATATATATATATATATATATATATATATATATATATATATGTGTGTGTGTGTGTAATATAAGTTTACTTTTTAAAGAGAAAGTTTACTTTTTAATCTAATGAGTGTATGCATTTACACTACTATCTTGATGTGGCATGTTATCAGATATATTATGCATTTCTTCAATTACAAAAAATAGTATTAGTTTATATATATAATTTGTGCACTTGCTTCTAGAAAGAATATCTCTTAGTCATTAAACACAAGTTTTTTTTTCATTAAATGCAAATATACAAGCTTTCTGTTTTCTGGCAGTTTATCTTATCAATTATTTCACAATGAATGCAACTTTATTTTCTTGCATTCTGTTAATTTTGAAAAAACAATAATTTTCTCCCAAACTCCCTATGATAGTAATTTAAACTATAAATACATATTTTTTCTAGATTTAAATTATATTAGCTATATACATAGTGCATGCGTAAAATTAAAACAATTCTAGCGCGAAATCTAAAGTTTACTGTGATTTCAATTGAGTATTAGTGTTAAAGAGGTAGTAATGTAGTTACAGAGTGCATTAAGGGAGTTTGATTTTCTGCACAACGAGGAAAAGGGCGGGCCTCAGGGTGCAAATTTGAGGCCCCTGGTGACAGAGCCCCGCCCTGTGCTGATTGCACCACCCTCTCCACGCACACCCTCGCCCCAACCTGTCGTCGAGTTTCCTGAGGATGAGGTACATACCTCCACGTACACACAACATTGCTTTGCTTGCTTTAGTGTATGTTGTTATTGGAAAAAAAACAAATGTATTTTCTTTTCTTATTTTCAATGCTTCCATTTCAATTTATAGACTATTTTTTTATTTTTACATAAAGTTATACCCTTCTATATTGATTTATTTATTTAACTTTCAGACTGTGCACGCTTCTGCATGTATTTTTTTAAATATTATATTAATAATATATAATATGTATAGAGATAACTGATAACTATTATATGAAGAATTGAATAATTAAAACATTATAAGTATTGTAACCTGTACCATTGTACTTACAATTACATATTCCTATATAAAGTGTCTTAATTTTATAATACACTAACAACTAATTCTCTTTATACATGATATGTAGAGATTATATTTAACCAGCCATATTAATCTCACTTATAATAATACATTGAAACAATACATTTGTGTATATATTATTTCAATTAAAAATCTTTATTTTGCAGGCTGTATATGAACTGCCAATCAGACCTCATCAGTATAGAGACAGTGCCTATGAGTCGAGAAGACATTCTCAAATTAATGGTATGACTTTGGAAAACTTTAGACTGCTCTCCGTACTCGGTCGTGGACATTTTGGCAAAGTGATACTATCGCAATACAGAAACACGGGAGAGTATTTCGCAATCAAGGCCTTGAAGAAGGGAGACATTATAGCTAGAGACGAAGTGGAATCATTACTGTCTGAAAAAAGAATATTTGAAGTAGCGAATACAACGCGCCATCCTTTCCTCGTAAATCTATTTGCGTGCTTTCAAACTGAGGTATCACTGAAGAAATAGTATTTTTTTCTCTAATTTTTCTGATACGGTTGGTAAGACAAAAGAAAGAATAAAAAGATGATTTTTTTTATAGGCACATGTCTGTTTCGTAATGGAATATGCGGCTGGTGGTGATCTTATGATGCATATACATGCCGATGTTTTCGGAGAGCCACGTGCTGTATTTTATTCAGCTTGCGTTGTTTTAGGATTACAATACTTGCATGAAAATCGCATTATTTACAGGTACATTTATCAATTGCTATTGTAATATGTTAGTGAATAATGCGATGATATATTTTACAATATATATTTTGATTTTACAGAGACTTGAAATTAGATAATTTATTGTTGGATACGGAAGGTTATGTTAAAATCGCAGATTTCGGCCTATGTAAAGAAGGCATGGGATATGGAGATAGGACAGGTACATTCTGCGGTACTCCTGAATTCTTAGCGCCCGAAGTTTTGACAGAGACTTCTTATACACGAGCTGTAGATTGGTGGGGACTTGGAGTCTTGATCTTTGAAATGCTGGTTGGAGAGGTAAAATTTTATGACTTATAAAATATATTATATTTTCATCTTACCAATACTCGGATAAAATATTAAAAAAATGTTTCAGTCTCCTTTCCCAGGTGATGATGAGGAAGAAGTGTTCGATTCCATTGTAAATGATGAAGTACGATATCCACGATTTCTTTCTTTGGAAGCGATAGCAATCATGAGAAGAGTAAGCATTTCTTTTATTTTCTTATTATGTTGATTTAATATATATTTCTTATCTACAAATTCCATTGTTACAGTTATTGAGGAAAAATCCGGATAGAAGATTAGGTAGCAGTGAAAGAGATGCGGAAGATGTTAAGAAACAAGCATTTTTCAGACATATTGCTTGGGATGATCTGCTTTTAAGGCGTGTAAAACCACCTTTTGTACCAGTAATTGTAAGTATTAGTTTCATTGCTGCATAAAACTTGAATACAGTATTTCCCTATTAATAGAAATTGAATTTTAAATATCGACATTGTCATTAGACTAGTGATAAGATTTTAACATTCTTATATGAGAAATGTTTCTTTGTTACTAGCATTCGGTGGAAGATGTAAGTAATTTTGATGAAGAATTTACATCAGAGAAGCCACACTTAACGCCTCCAAAAGATCCTCGGCCTCTCAGTGACTTAGAGCAAGGCCTATTTAAAGACTTTACTTATATGGCTGATTGGTGCTAGCCATAGGATTAATATCTGTGTGCGAACGGAATTACCAGCATGTCATAATTGAAGAAAAAGTTGTTTTCACTACTACAAAATGAAATTTTTTGCACAACTGCATTAATTGCAGGTTGTTTATTTGAACAATATACATATATATATATCTCCCATCATGTATACATATTTCGTATTTTTTAATATTAACGATCGCAGTATATATTAAGAAGAGAAATTTTTATTGAATCTCAGGTTTTCTCCATTATGCTTTTAATAAGTATTTGATACATACTTGGAGTTTACAATCTCCAGTTTCATATTAAATAACATATATATATGCAAATAGATAATTGTTAATGTTTATACGGTTGATGAGATATATAATAGTGCTGTCAATATTCAAGACTATCTGGTTATTTCAGATATTACTCAGATACATTGTTTAATTCGATATAGACAACTGAATGAGAAATTATACATAGAATATTGAAAAAATTGTTGACTAATCGATTCTGCTCAATATTCTATGTATAAAAGTATATTAGATGATATTATTAAAAACTAAATATTTTTTGCTATATGCATATACACACATATACATGATAAGCTAATAAAATCCTACTTATTTTGTAGTACTGATTTGTTTGAAAATATTGAAACATGTCAACTTTTGTTTCTGTAAAAATCTAAAATTATAATAAATTCAAATCATGCTACTTTGTTGAAATAGCTATTCCTTTAAAAATTTTAAATAGTGATAAAGGTGATGTAACGGTTTAAAAGTATGACGAATATCTGGGTAATATCAATATAATTTATATTGACAGCACTAGTATATAAATGAGTTCTTTAAAATTGATTAAAAAATTCTCATCAAATATGTAAAGAAAGAAACGATGAAGTTATCCATCTTTTGACAGAGAAATTTTTTCGTATAAGGATAAATAATTTTAGACTACATTTGCATAGAAGTGATCTCTTCAAACATCGTCCTGTCACTAGCTATTAAATATGTATCATTGTTCTTTTATTTGAAGATGTATTCTTTTCAACACTTTATTATCTATATGTACTACTTTTATGTACAGTAACACACACGTAATTACTCGAAAATTTTATATAAAGTAGAAACTGTAGAACTTTTAAAAAAAGGATAATCATAATGCAAACAATAATTAACACATTTATAGGGAAAACAAAATAAATCAAAATGTAGCTAAAACTTGCTCATGCTCATGTGATAAAGAATTGAAATCGAAATGGCGCTATATATATATATATGCAACAATAATGATCATAACATTCATGCGCTTTTTAATTAAATTTATCATATTAACTATTAATTATGATAAATGGAAATTCAATTCATTTACTATTTAATTTTATTATAACTGGTTTTGTGCAAGATTATGGTGACTTTAGACAATATGAGCTTTGACATTGTGTGAAGCAGCATGTTTATAATATCGTATATCAGAATCCTTTAAGTTTGTTTAACATATATCCAATTATTATATATTTGCTATATTTCGTTATGTATTAGTTATGTACATTCATACTCTAGTTTATGAAATAAGATAATTTTACTGATATGTGCTAAATATATATTATGTATATATAAATATATAACCAAATATTTTGCAAAGTGGATAATAATGGATGATATTTCTATATTTAATAGCTCGAATATTGTGTGGTGTAGTATTACATTACATTATCAATATTTCAATTAATTTTGCCACACAAAATATCCTATTGTGAGACAAATTCATATTCTGATATGAGCATATATTTGAATATCTTTTAAGATTTGATTCTAATTTTGTAGAAAATGATGAAAATTATATAACTATGTTGAAATAGTTGTTAGATTTTACATTTGTGCTTGTAAATTAATTCCTCTTGTAATTGTAAAACTTTTCATGATCTATATATGATAATTTTAATATTTAATAATTAATACTTCATAAAATTTAATCGTTTCTAGAACTCCCACACACAAATATCAGTTTAAATTGAATTCATGATATGTGCTTCATTCATTTTATAAAAGGTGCCTACATAATAATTGGACGATTTTTAATAACACGCAATATAACTAGAAAATTTTTTGAGTGTTATAATAAGTGTATATATACATATATATATATTATATTAAGTGTATATATATATACATATATATATATAAACTTTTCGATTTGTCATTTTTATTTTATAATAATTGTGCGAGAAATTGAAGATTGAATTACGAACCTTATAAAAATAAGAATATTTCAAATAAAACTTGTTAGATTTTATGCAAATTTTGTACAAAACGATATAATCGTTATTTAATGATTCAGAGATTATTCAGAGATTATAGTTTATTTTTAATTTTCATTAATTTTAACAATCAGAATGTTTCTTATCAAAGTCTATTAAGTATAATCTATTTTATTTTATTCTATTAATTACAAATATTGATTGTGAAAAGTTTCTTATATTGATGAAATCGACAAAGTTTTATTTGCAATACTTCTCATTTAAAAATAATCAAGCGTACATATATAATCACTAGAATTATTTGTGAAACCTTTTTAATATCAAGCATTTTACATAGTACGAAAATTAACTGTATCACTAGTGATAGATTCGAGTACCTCTTGAGATCTAGTTGCCTTACTGCAGTTATGTGAATTGACCACTTTTTGGTATCTATTTTATATATAATTCTTATACACAAGAGGGATGGTTTAGATCTGTAAAAATATTGACGATCGATTTTGAACATGCTATATAATAATGGCAACTAATCGGAAAGATATGAATAATACACATAAAATCTTTAATGTGCCTGTTTTTTATATATTATTATTATTATATGTAAGTTTTAAAATCTAATTTGTAAATCTCATCTTTTTGCACACGTATTATGTGGTTTTCTGAAATAAGGAATTCAATTAAAATTACATATACAGCAATAAAAAAAAACAGGCAGAGAAAAGTAGGGCATCATTACAGTTATTAAAGATACGTCACATGTGAGAGATTATTAGCCTAATTTGTAAAGCAATTAAAATAAATCTAAAATTTATGTTGATATTAAGATTGCTTAAATTTTGCGAAAGTATGTAAGATCATCTAGATATCTATCAATACATATGTATATTATTTTTATATCTTGTAGTGTTTAACAATAATTTTTTTACACAGCTCTTAACTGCCCTAAAGTGTATGAAAATCGTATAAACAATTTCAGATGAAATTATTTTTGTCAAAGAAATATCATTTTCTCTACATGCATTTTACATTATAGCTTAACATACGTTATAAGAAAACATTATCATGTGTATAAATTATTTTTCATTGATATTACATGCAGCTTTGCAGAAATTAAATAATTTAACGACTTTGGAATGTGTGTCGAAAACGCAATGATTTAAAGACACATAGAGAATATGTACATATATACAAATATATATATCGTATAGTCTTTTTTGTAGATAGATTTACTTTTAGTTCATAAGAATTTTTAAGTTATATCATTTCTCTCTTTACACATTTTTTTATATATACATAATATTTTATAGCATTATTAGACTTAAGTTTAATTATAAACTGTTTGCTGTATTTATCATTAGTTTTATAATAAGTGAAGAAAACGTTATGTGCCTCGTATTTTGTAGTGTCTACTAATTAATACACGAGAGTACTAAGGCTAGATGAAGATTTTTTAAGAATTAATTTATTCGATGAATATATATTTACAGTGGCAGCTTATTACGTTTCGTTTTACTAAACAATTATATGCAATTCTTAGAAGTATTCTCAAAATCTGCATTATATGCGCGCATGTGAAAATTACTTTAAAAAATAAATATTAAAAATATACATCTTTATACTATCTTTATCCTCTTTTATCTCACACTTTGTTTGTGCCTTACTATATATTTCCTTCCATATATCTCTTTTGTATTTTTTAGAGAAAGAGAGAAGTGTCTTAAAAATTTTCATAAATTCATATAAACTACAAATATGACAACATCAAAAAGAAATAAATACAGTAATATAGTAAGCAAATATATATTACATTAAAATTCAATATTATGTATAAAAAAAATATCATAATATCTCCAAACTAGAATCAGTATTTGAAGATTCTACAATAACACTTGGACCAGAACTAGTATTTTGATCTTTTGTTTCATGAGCAAAAACTATAGTTTTTGCTAATTCATATAAATTTGATGTATTCCTGCGAATCTCTGTCTCCAAATTATATTTCTTTTCTTCTTTTTCTTTCAGTTGTTTAGTTGCTTCTGGTGCCGCTGGTTTTATAAGCCCCGCGCTTATTGTATACAAAACACTGCTGCTATCCTCAGATTTAAATACAAATGTCAATCTGTTGAATTTAAATTTGTTATTTATATATATGTATGTGGAATACATTAAATATTATATTTTATAAAATTATACACAAGAAATATCAAAGATAAAATCCTGGAATTACCGTTCATTTTGTAATGCCTGTTGCATTTTCTCAATTTTATCAATGGAAATGCTGTACTTGGTTGGCCAAGGTATATAGATTTCCAGTGAAGAATGCTCTCGTTTTTTTACTTCGAGATAAAATAGATCAAGTTCCTCCTTATACTTATATTTGACATCCCAGTATCGTTTTACTGTGAATCATCATAGCAATAAATTATATATAAATTTATTTACAGCTTACTTATGTATATTCTGTATTGTGAAAATTGATTTATACCATACCTTCGCACAGTTCAATGTAGACATAAAAGGCGGTACTTGTTTTCACAGGATCGTTACAGCCAAGTTTGCATAAATGATAATACTGTAAGCATAGAAAAATAAAAATCTTTTACATTCATACAAATAACTCTTGATTGCATTCGTCTCTTTTTTTTGATTATTTGAATAAAATACATTACTTACACTAGGATGACATATGTCGTACATTTTCTCATAAGCGTGAAAAAAAATTTTGTATGTCTCGTCCTTCTACGAAGTCAAATTATTATTTCATTTTGCACATCATGGCTTGAAAAAATGCAAAATATAAACAATAAAATATATTTACACGTACACATTGCCAAGTCACTCGCGATCATTTCATGCCAGTCGCCACAGGATGCGAGTCCATCTAGTGTTCAAGATATATGTTAAAAGCATTATCCGAAGAGTACGATTATTTATCTTTCGAGTTGAAATACAATTTTCTAGAGTTACATAAAGATGTCATTGCATAAAAGATATAGGTAGAGAAATAAGGATGAAAACAGTGTTGGAATATATTATATATATTGATTTTAAATATTGTATACTAAATAAAATATTAGTTTTAGTGTCTTTTGTGTTACTGTATTGTGATTTATTTTAAATTTCATAGGTTATATATAGTTATACAATATTTTAATATATTTAAATATATTTATTGCTTCCATATTATATATTACAAAAATAAAATATACAATAATAAGAATTATAAATAAGAATTCTAGTCATATAATATTTTATTGCTGTATGCTTAATTTCGAAAGAATTATTAATACTTTTTATTGATAAATATGCATTAAACACTTTTTTCTTGATATAATAAATTAGCTTGCGTTAATTACATATAACAAATAACATATTGTGCAAAAATTTGTTTAGAGTATGCTAAAATTATGGTATGTATATTGTAACACCATGAAGGCAAAATATGAAATTGATGTACGCTCAAGATGAAAAAGTACAAAAGATTTGTTCTATGAATTTTAAATCTATTTTCTCGAATTACAATTTACAATAAATAAGCGTATTCAAATATATTAAATGTTCCCTTCTTCCTTAAGCTTTGCACACGAATGTGCGATATAAAAAATATATTTTATATATAGATATAAATACATTTATACATTTATATGTTTAGATATATAAAATATATTTTAAATCGAATTTATTAAATAATTTAGTTAAGAAATTATATATCAATACTAATATCGCAAATTATCATTGTGAATTATCTACTTAAATATACAGTACTTAAATATACAGTCATCAGTATTGCGTCACTTATAGAAATAGGGAAGTTTATTTCAAAGAAACATAAACATATATAAATATTATCTATATTTTATCTATAATCTATATTTTATTACTATTTTATGTTGTAAAATATTTTATATTGTAAAAATTAAAAATTATAACAAATACAATAGATATTTTATTTTTCAAAATAGCTTTTTGATCCTTTTAATTACTGGATTTTAATTTGATAGAATTATTGTGAGATAAGTTTTTGATATAGAAATATATGAAAAATGACACTTATTAATCAAGAACAATTGTATGCCAAAGTATATGAAATGATATTAAAAATAGAAGATTATTTTAAAGAGTGAAAAAAATTTTAACATTTTTGATATTGTCTCTTATAATTTTTAATTTTTACGACTTTAAAACATAAAATATTAACAATAAAATATAATTATAATTTATACATATACATACATACATATATATATATATATATATATATATATATATATATATAAAATTATAATTATATTTTATTGTTAATTTTTACGACTTTAAAACATAAAATATTAACAATAAAATATAATTATAATTTTATATATATATATATATATATATATATATATATATATATAATTATAATTATATTTTATTGTTAATATTTTATGTTTTAAAGTCGGAAAAATTAAAAATTATAAGAGACAATATCAAAAATATTAAAATTTTTTTCACTCTTTAAAATAATTTTCTATTTTTAATATCATTTCATATACTTTGGCATACAATTGTTCTTGATTAATAATTTTCATTTTTAGCATATTATATATATATATATATATATATATTATATATATATATATATTTTTTTTTTTTTTTTTTTTCTTCTATTCATTAAAGCAATGAATTCCCTATTTCCATAAGTTATGCGATACTTTTGTCTCTTTTCTTTCACCGGTATTCTAAAAATGCACATAATTTAATAAACTTATTGAAGGAAGTGAATTAAATAAAGATCACTAATGAAATTTTAAATAAACTACATATATATATATAATGGATCCGTATAATTTCTCTATCAGAGGCATGTATTGTATCATAACTGAACATGACAAATAATAACTGAACATGACAAAACAATAATTCCACAGAGAACGGTGCGAAAAAATTTAAAAAGCTTAAAAAATTTTTCGTATTTATAAAAAACCGTTAATATCGTTCGCTTTAGACGTAGTAACACAAAAAATTTCCAAAGGAATTGCTAATTCCTCCTAAGAGACTCCTCGAAGTTTCTCCTTCTAAGCCTTATGCATACGAATAATCACATAAATGATATTGACAAATTACAGTTGCGCGGATCCTCGCCAGGCAGAATCGAAGCCGCAAGCCGTATCCGAATCGGAGTCGTTCTGCTGGACATTGTTGGACGCGTTGACGGAATTGACGGACGTCGTGGACGTCGGTCGACGATGGACAGCCCGACTCGGTCGACTGACTTTGCCCTGTAATAACGGGGTAGTCGGCTGACTGATGGTCTGCTGTTGCTCTTGTGATGAGCTGAAGTCTTGCGGCCGTCTGCTCTTTCGTTTTTTGATAGGTGCGTACTTCGGCGGTGGCATCAGTTTGTGGTCCAGCTTGAATATATGCGAAAGACGAATAAAATATATTAGTCTGTAAACGTTGCGATCTGTTGCACTCGCCTTTCGCATTTGAAGAAAGAAGAAAGCATGAATACTTTTTACTGATCGCGGATATATTAATCAGATTTTGTTATTTCATTGCGAATGCATTCACAAAATGAAGTTTTGTGTATGTTTGCGTGTGCGCTATCTTGTACAGAATGTTATAATCAAAAAGAAATACTTCTCTGTTAAGAAATTATATATTATCTCAATGTAACGCGAGACGTGTTGAGGAATCCGAGAAAATGATACCTGAACGTTATCCGCGGATCCCCATGACTTGTGAATCTTCTCGTTGTTGCTGCTAGCCGTACTGCTGGTTGCCACACCCAGGAACTGACTGAAGGCTTCCGTAGTACGTTTCACGCGAACGTTCAACGAGCCAATTCGTAGGAAACCAAGATCTTTCTCTGCATATTCAATCAATCGTTCTATTATGGTGCTTAAGGGAGCTCTCTCGTTACTCTTCACGTTAGTATAACTTTGCTTGGAAGAATATAGCCAATTGTGACAGGGAAGTGTATTTTTGATCATTGTTACTTTACTACATTAATTCTACTATAAATGTGAGAATATAAGGCGTTCTTCTTAAAAATTATGAAAGTTAATATTGAAAAATAAGCAAAATTATTGTAGTTACAAGTTTGAGAAAAAGAAGATTAAAATTAATATGTTATAATGTTAATGTAATCTATTTAGATTATTTCATGCGCCAAATTAGTCTCTACTAAAACGCTTGGACACCAAAAGAATTATTTCTTACCTGCATGCTTTTTCCTTGCTTTTATTTCTGAAATAAAATAGAAAATCATTTGAAACTGTATCTCGTACATAGTGAGAAATTGGGAGATCGACAAGTGATGTAAGATTATCATGAGTTAGAATAAGATGGAAAAAAGTTATTTTTTTAGTATAGGATTTTTTATGTTAGAAAATATGCCTAATATATTTGATAATTTTTAAGAAGCGATTATATATAATTTTCATTAATAAAACGAATCTACAATTAAAAATTAATTTAAAACAGAAATGTTATTTGTATGATTAATAAAATGATATGATACGCGCTATTATATAATATATGTTAGGTATATAAGAAAATAAGAGAAAAACTCTCTCTTACACAAGGAAATTAATGTATGCGATTAAATAAATTAGTAAAAAACGGGGCCTACTTTCCCTTTCGAGAATTATTATATATCCTGTCTTACTAAGTGTAATAATTATCCAGTGTGCGAATAAAACTGAATGATGCTGAGAATCAACTGGAGTGAGATACACATGTGTTTCTCATGCTCGAGTGTACATGCTTTATTTACGTACAACAACGCATCACATAAGGGCAATAACAAATAATAGCAACGATGTGTGATGTGAAACAAAGTATTATAACTTATATAACAATACAATCAAAAGAGATTCCGCAATAATCTTATTATCACTCATAATTGAAAATATAGCACTATGTTTTCCTTTTTCATCACTTGCTACGTGAAAAATGTAAGTTTGAAGATTAAATTTCACTTCACACATATTGCCAGAGTTACACACAATATTATTTCTCTACGATGCCAGAAATCTGATGTACCACTGCCACTTTGACAATTCACGTTTTATAATCATAGCAAATTATGTAATTAAAACATGATAAAGAAGAAACAAAATACAAAAATTTTTTATGTAGAAAGAATAATAAAATTTACCTCCGATTGATAAGTAGTTATATATCAAGCAGTAATAACAAAGTAGTAAAAAAATTTTATACTGAAAAAATTGATCGGTAATAATAATTGCCAAATGAATTAAATTGTATTGTTTTAATTGAATATTTGATAACCATTATTATTATATTTAAGAATATTAAATTAATATTAAATATTTAATGAGTTCAATTATGGGCAAATTTTGTTTCTAATTAAATAATTTATACTATCAATTAAACTCTTAGAGATTCTTTGAATTAAATACTTCGTTATCTCGATTAAATCTTTTAGCAATTGTTATTATAACGTTTAATGTTTTTAGCGCTATTTATCCAAATCATTTAGCTATTACTAAAAATTTTTTCAGTGATATTTAAAAAGGGTAAAAAAAAATATTTTTTGCAGGATGATACAGTTATATTATTCTTAAAGTAAGTACGTCAAAGCTAAACATTTTAACATTTTTAGTACATTTCAAACATATTTAGCAAAGTAGTAGACGAAGACTTGTCGCTTATAAAGTGTCAGAAGCGAAACAGATTCGTATTCGAACCCGCTTTTTAATCTTGGCAAACAATATCGTCCAACGAATCTCTAGACCAGTTCGCGCAGGGAGGTCCGTGAAACTTTAAGATACTCACGTCAGAGAGGTGTGCAGAAAAGTGACAGTCATACGTTACTCTAAAAGGTGCGCCTACGTACTTTAATGTGACGACACAAGCGCTTTACTACTTTAGCAGAGGTGCGCTTCTGAACTTGCCTGAGCGTAGCGGCAGCAGTAATCCCTACAACAGAAGAATACTTCCAGAACCCCGAAGTACTCACCTAGGAGAGCCCGTTAACACCATTCCGGCAATTCAAATATATCGCATCATATTTCCCGACCGGATCTACGTACCTTAAATCTAAAGCGACAGAAAGATATCCTAGAAATCCCGAGGGAGCAGTATTGTCGGTCGTAGTATTGTCGCATGCTGCTGAGAGTTAATTATATAGTATTGAGAGAGAGGAAGGTGCTGAGATAGACGTGCGAAGTTTAGTATACACCAAAAATTATGAAATAAAAAGTTTAAGTCTATCTAAAAAAAATCTACCTGATCTAATATTCGATCTGTCTAAATCAGTATTAGCTTACAAGTGCTAGTACGATATCATGCAATTCTCGTATAGATTAAGCGCAATAGCCATCAACTCGTGCTGGAGCGTGACAGGAGGCGAATGCCGCGAAACGAGCGTGGAGAACGTTGAACAATGATCGACACGGGATATACGGGGCGGAAAGCAACGGAACTTTGACGGGACACACTTACAAGCGGTGTAAATTACAGTGTACTTCGGAGCGTAATTGGTTTTCCGCGAGCGAAGGAGTTGAAGGCACACACGGAAAGAATTCCTTTAAAAACTTTTTTTTCCAGACGACGATTATGTCTTTTGTTTTCAAACTACTTGTTATGCAAACTACTTTCTTCGTACAGCCTGTTTCTACATGTATATACAGGACGAAAAATACTTCTCTATCGTTAATAAGTGAAAAGAAAGAAGATTTCGATGTTCCCAGGATTAACTTTGCTGCTGCTATTTCGTGGCAAATTGGAGAAGATGTGGGAAAAGAACTAACGCGAATAATTTACAAAACTTTCTAGTGAAATCTTTTCTTTTCGTCAATATACTCTCTTAAATAAAATCGATGCATCTGATCATCACTGAATAAGCAGTGGTTTCAAATAAATATAGCATTGCAAACAATAAAAATAATTAATTTGTGATTGGCTGTTTCAATCATATTTTAATATTAAATATTTTATTAATTTCAATGTTTGTTTTATTTTTATTTTATTCAATGATATTTTAAAATGCGTCATATATTTAATATATGAAATAAATTCAATTAGCAATATATTTTGTTAAATAAAGCCGAGTCTTGTTCGCTTTTTTTTGTAGATTTACATTTTAAGAATAAAAAAATATGATACACATAATTCTAAATTTGAATATTAATTATACAAAATTTTATTATAATCAACAAAAATGGAGAAGAAAAGTGTGTCTTCACTAAAGCTCGGTGAAACACTTGGTGAAATCTTATTATTGCTTTGCAATGACATTTTCACTAATTCAATTTGAGAGAGTAAATTAGACTATTTCCTCTTAAATGAAATTGGAATGAATATTAGACAGCGTTTTATAAGATGGACCAGAAAGTGCTAAATTTGTGATTAATATTCCGATTTTGTAGTACAGAAAATTACGAGGAACATCTCAAAACATCCGCGTGCGCGAGACAACGTAACCCTCTATGAATATTTACAAAAGTTGCGTCACATTCCCCTAAGTGGCGCGTATTTTTTCTTAGAGAGGGAGAATGTACTCACTGTGAAACGTGTCCTGGCTGACTGCTGCCTCCTGCGAGACCAGATATTGTCTGGCCTTTCTACCGCTATAGTCACGTATGTCCTGATTCGCGCCTGAAAATATATTTTCAAAAAACATGTTAAAAAGCGAGACATTACGACCTTTTTGCTATGGAATTCGCTCTCTTAAGTGAAATCAGTATATTATTACAGATAAGCAAGATTTTACAGCATTGTAAATAGTGAAATCTCACTGAAAAAATCATTGATATTTAAAAAAGAAATGAGCCTTGCAACATATATAATTATATAATATATATGAGATTAATTTATTTATTAATTATATAGTAACATTTTATTTAAAAAATATCTAATTTTTATCAAGAGTCTTGTTCATTTTGTAGATTTAATTATCTGAAGAATAAAAAAAAATTATGGTACATATAATTCTTCTTCTAATTTAGAGATTAATTTACGAGACGAAAGAGCAAAGGCCAAGTTTTCGTTGAAGATCAATGAATTACTCATTGATCTTTAATGAAATTTTGTCACTGCTTTAATGACAATTTTATTATTTAGGCTTAAAAGAGCGAAAAAAGGAGAAACTCTTGCGTATACTCACCATACACTTGAACCAAAAGATTGAATATATTCTCATGGCCGAATTGCATGGCGATGTGCAGCGGTGTATAACCCTAAAACGATGACACAAATTCGTTTAATACACTCGTTTTCGCACACGTGTAACAATTCTCGATCGTTTAAAGAATAATAAACCTATCTCATCCGCATCTTTCCACCGTGCTAAACGCACGGAGCGTTTAAGTTATATTAATTAAATTCTACCGGGCGTAAGAAGAACGTGTGTCGATAATTGGTCGAATTAAAAGACCGACGATACATGGTCATAGTTCGACCGGCGTGTAATATCACGCCAACGAAATGTTCGCATCTTTTCACGTTGACGCAAGGTGCACATTATTAATACATTAGAGACGTTCGGCCTACAAACGGTTTAATGAATAATTTATCTCTAATTGCGTGTACGTATGGGTGTAGCTCTGTGCTGTCCGCCACGTTTCCGGCGTCAAAAAGGATACGCCAATCTCTCCCGCTGGAAGGAAATCATAATAAGGTGGATGAAAAAATAATAGAGAGCCCGTATCACACCTCTCGTCGCAAGTACCGACGCGTTGCGTATCTTATTAGGATTTGCTCGAATGCGTGACGTGCCTTCGCGAGGGAGCGATGAAAAAGAGAGAGAGAGAAAGAGAGAGAAAAGAGACCGAGAGGGAGGAGGGAAAAGAAATTAACAGAACGGTGCCGTCGCAGAGACAATGAGTAATTAATGGCATCGTATTATGAATATCACCTCGAGCGTGCGAATTCGCATTTCCGCGACAAAGACGTCGCGATCTGAAACAATCCTTACGTGCGTGCGTGCCTGCGTGCTTGCATGCGTGCGTGTACGTAAGGGACGGCGATGCCGCGAAAGCTAGCCTCGCGTGCATCGCCCTTAACGTCCTGCACGCATGCACTTTCATCCGGCTCCTCTATGTGAATCTTTTTTCGAACACAATGTATTCGATAAGATAGATAACAGATCGTTGGCCGCCAGTTAATCTCGAACTTGGACTTCGATCAACATTTTAATTGGGAGGTTTTAATTAGCGCGTATTCTTAATGCTTATTTAATGTTGGAAATTAAGAAAAAAGTTCCGAGCAAGTCAAGAGATCATTTCCTGATAGAGGTTCGCTGCTCGTCTCTATCTATGAACCAACAGGACGTGCGTGACTTTAGATATATCGTGTATAAATCGATCCTACGTACAAATAAGCAGTCAATGAACACTGTGTATTTTGTGATTAAGCTAAACATATTATTAAGCTAAGATACACACAAGTTTCGATGTATGTTATAATCAGCAGGACATAAAAGAAAAAACGAATATCAGTCCAGACTTGTTAAGTGGACGATATTATTTCGCACACATCTTTATTAAGCGTCGTTTTATTAAGATACGGTATATCAGATTGATCTACAAAAGCAAATGTTAGAAGCCGAGCCCTTACATTCTGTTCATCGTGACGAGCGACACGTCGAGATCCTCGGGGCATCACCGTTACGTGCGCCATTTATCGCGAGGGCAATAGTATTAAGAGAACGTTATCTCGCAATTAGTATCGTTCGACTTGGACGGAGCAGGTGAAAAAAAGGGCTTGCTTTTTCAGCTCGCACGTCAAATAACAGCTGCCGCTCCGATGTTTACCAAGATTGTATCGATACACGAAGTCGATGCGCGGCCAACGCGACACTGCGTAATAGTGTCATTGGTAGTCGCATAAGCGAGTCCGATAAGGGATTCACGAATTATTGATCCCCTGTCGTCGCAAAAGATTTTAATCACCGAGATAATTTACGCTCTCCTTACGTTGAATAGCGAGAAAATTATTCATGACACTTATAGCGTGAAATAATTGCTCGCTCTTACGCGTATCTCTCGCGTCTTTATATTTATAAGCAGTTAAAAATATCATTTATATCCTCCTCTTTAGATACGTAGATTCGAATTTAAATCCAAATTTTATGCCGCGATCGTTTCGTAGTTAACGCGCGTCGTCGCTCAACGTACCTCTTTCTTGCCGAGAGAAACTGGTTTAATTTAGATAAAAGTCGCTCGAAGCCGATCAACCGAGAGTCAGCCAAGCAACAAAGTAGTGCGGATTAAAGTATGCAAAATGCAAAGTCGCAATATACGAGGTGTTTGTAGAATCAAACCTTGAAGGAGATTCCATAGCTTTAACGATGTATGAGATTGTTTTTTTAAATTATTACCTATTTTAAATGTGCTAATGTAAAAAAGGTAAAAAAAAATTGCAGCAATTACAAATAAAAATGAGACAATATAATAAAATAAAATCAAAATTGGCTAAATTTAATATTATTTATTTATTTTATCTATATGTGCGTTTGTGTAATTAGAAGAATTATTGAATAAGATTAAATTAGACTTTTTTGTTAGCGTGAGTTTTGGAAGCGTCTTTTTTTCGCTCATGAATTTATTTTTAATCGAAATGTAATCGGTTGAGATTGATTGTCAACGTGAAATTTTTACAATATCTTTTCCATTTATTTTTAATAGACTAATAAATTAGGACGGATATTTGTTGTACTGACACATGTATGTACGTATGTATATATAAGTTTGTATATTAGTTTATTAAATTTCTCACGTGATTTACCATTTAATGATTTTCGATTTACAGTTTCTGAAAATACTTACAATTAGATTATTTAATTTCTCATGATTAATTTTCAATCTTTTAACATTTCACTCATAAGACAAATATTTTTATATATTTTTTAAAATTTTTTATAATATAAATGATAATGCTCATCACTCGAAAATAAAAAACCTATATAGCTCTAGAAATTCTTATATTGTGTTTCGCTACAAAAAAATACTGAGACATATTTGTTAAAATATAATCGTCAAAATCATCGAAATTCTTTTTCAAAGTAGCACAAACTCAATTTAAAAATATTGCTCTTTGAACATGAATAAGTATCATAAATGACAGAGGAGCAAAATTAAAAAATTCACGGTACATGCAGATGTTGGATATCAACATTTTTGAATACATCGAAAGTATATCATTAATATCATTAATTGTTAATTATTTGCAATCGACAGGCTATTTTTTTCTCTCTTGGCAGTTTTTCACCTTAATAATTCACAGACAGTATCTATGGTAAAATGAAAGTGCGCTCGGTCAGGGACACCCTGTATTCTTGCCGCGGGCTAACATTCGTGAAAGAGTACGCTGTAGCGATGCTCGTGTCGATAAGTACGACAAATTGCGCGTAATTGTGTACGTATGTATGTGTGTGTGTGTGTGCACACGAGTCATTATCCGGTCGAGGTGAAAATGCGAACAATCTACTTGAGAGTACGTTTCATAAAAATATATGTAACACATTCATATATAATAAGGAAAAAAACTAGGTGTATTGAAGTGAAGGCGAGTAAATATTTTTTAAGAAACTTTTGAATCCATTCCCATATTGGGAGAATTTACGAGCGTAATTTGAGTTCCTTTAACGAACATCATACAAGCTTACGAGATGAATCACAAAATAAAATAATAAATTACAGAGAAAGCTATTTGCAGATTGAATTTGCAAACGTAATAGATTTCGCTCCAATTCTGCTTGCGGTGCGCGTAATCGTAATACATTAAAGCTATGTCGTCGGTACAAAGCCCGCGGCGGAAAAATGCGTAACGAAAGGGTCGATTTGAATCTGTACAATGCTTTTACCCTCAATTAAGCCTACCCTCGAGATACGCCGGGCGCGACATTTGGTCGCGCTATGAAGGCGATTAAAAAATCGTCCCCGTCGTCGTTCGGGTTCATGAACGACTGTATATCGTTGGCGTTTAATATCGAACTTGTGCAATAAACGATAGTGACAAATGTGTCAAAACCGCGATCGTAGTTATCGAAACGCGGGACGCACCCTTTGCGCCATCGCACCCTCGCCTGCGATACGGTAGAGCCGGGAGAGAAGGGTTGGTCGCTCGCGCGTGTAGAGAGAATGCCCGCTCACCCCCCTCACCCTTCCAAATTTCTAATTTATTTCACTTTAAAATCCCCGCGTTTTAGATACGCGCGAAAAAACTTACGACGGTACATATACGACGATCACATATATATAGAGCGGAAAATGGCACGTATGGGGTAGACATCGTAACGCGTCACCCTTTTGCCAGCTCCAATAGCGTGCGACACGTGTGTCCTCGCGACAAGTGGCGCGACACCCCCCTGGCCAATTCACGCGCGTCCTCCCTCACGCATCCCTTCGCGATACGGATGTGCATGTACGAGGTGTCGCACAAGTAGCGCGCTTACCCCTATCCTGGGAATCAACTCGAAGGAGCACTCGTTGTTTAAACATCCAAATATCAATAATCTTTGAATAGAAAAAAAAGTAGGAAGAAAATTTTAATGATTACAAGTTACATCTTTGAAAGTGCAGGCTTCCAAGCGTTATGATATTTGAATTGAAATATTTTAAAGAATAATTAGCAAGAGATCCGAAGAATGCGAGTTTACTTGAATTTATATCGAATCTAGATTTCCGTGATATCAGGCGTGGAAACGGGTGATTTCTCAAACACCCCGTACATGGGTGGGTACATACGCGCGGAGGACCCCCCTTTTTATGCTCTCCCGACGATATTTTAAAGTAGCAATGTTCCGGAGCACACGGAGCCTCGAGACAATATCGCGTCCCTACCGCCACTTCGTCTTCGTCTTCCTCTCCGTTCGAGTACCCGCGCTAACGTGTCCCTTCTTCCTGCCTCTTCCTGCCTCTTCATTTCTCTCCCTTTCTCTCTCGCTCTTTCGTCCTGCAGGAACAGGACAGCTGCCGGCCACCAATATCACGCACGCGTATATCACCGTTGAGGATTTTCAATTTTAATATTTTCCTACATCGGGCCGCCTTTACGAGCCGCTATATCATAACGGCGCTTCTCCTTTTCCCTGCTCCTTCTGGAAGGGCGAAAAAAGCCCGGGAAAGGAGCTCGCGCGTTCCGAGGTTATCTCGTTCCTCAACGTAGGCTCGCTCGAAAATCGGTAGGAAAGCAATATCGTTTTCCACGATGTCTATCGTGTAGACATTTCTTATATGCCTCGTATATTTCGCGTGATAGAATTTAACTTCACGACAGCTAAGCTAATTTAAAATGAGAGATACGTAATTCTTGTCATATGTGCAGTAAAGATTTACAGATTGAAATTCTCCGCCATGGGAGCGGTCTTATATATAATAATTCATTTACGTTTAAATCTTCACGGTTTGAATCTCGGTAACTCATAATTAAAGGATGGTAAAAATGTAATAGATAATTTTTCTCTCTCATTATTATAATAATTTCTCAAAAATTCGATCCACGAAGTGAGTTGAGTACTAGTGTATCTAGTATTTTAAACAATTAATTCTCGATCAAAGATTATATTTCGAATGGATCACCCGTTGCACGAGGCAGATTCCGGTTGCATCTGGAGCCTTAACCGCGAACGTCGTTGGCTGTCGTACGCCAGGCAAGGATGCAGGCGCCACATGGGCGGCTTACGAGGGACACCTTCCTCTCCCCCCGGGGCACACGGTGAAACGAGCGGCCATCCCCCGTTTTTTTGCGGGGATTAAATGCAAGGCGATGCAGCGATAAGCCGGTAGAAAACCACGGTAGAAGCGGTACCGGTGACAGATTACGCCGGTGACTGCGATCCGCCTCTTCGTCCACAGGCCGATCGAGGATAAAAAAAGTTGCGAATGGCGGAATTCTTACGATAAGTAAGCCGGAGAATAAAATAATCACAATCGCGTTATGATTTTTCACGCCAAGAGTATCAGACAGCTCGTTGAGATCGAGAGACATTCTCAGCTTGCAGACAATTGCAAAACTTGCGACGAGACGCTTGTGAAGTCGCGAAACTTTGAACGAGGAAAGATTCCAAGTTAAATTAGTAATGGTCAAACATTCAAAAACATTCATATGTGAAAGCGAGAGAGAATAATTTTATTTACTTGCCATATTACTATACTCTTTGTAAAATTCACTATCGACTTTTCCCGACTCTTTTCCAGCAAACCTGTCTCCCGGAGAAACCGGTATCGATGCCCGCGAGCGACGGATATTAGTCGTGGATAAAATCGAGCGATTCCACGCCAAGCTCCGCCGGATGATCTCTTTTTTTTTCACTCGTTTCTCTCCTACGTCCTCTTTCATTTACCGCGGGATTGGGGAAAAGCCGGTGGCCGGGATAAGCCGTAGAAAAGCGCGGCGCGGGAGCGACGCCGGTGACAGATTACGCCCAGCCGCGCGATCCGCAGTCTGGTCCTAAAGCCGCGCCGTGAAAAAGAAAAGAGAGAAAAAAAAAGGAACGTCCAGAGAGGATTCGCCGAGGACAGATCCCTCGTCCGGGGTGTGGATTACCTATTCTACATCGGTACGTACACGAGCGCTACCGTATTCATTATATCCGGGCTGCGTTAATCCTTGGCAGCGGCGCATCGAGTCGGCCCCGAAATTGTCATCGGGGAAGGTACAGGAATAGCGACGCGTGTGCGCATTAATGTGTTTCCCCGTATTATGGAAATCTCTTGTACACTCCATTTTTATCCTGTTACACACGAGTCTCTCTCTCTCTTTTTTTCACTGCTTCTTTAGATCAAGTATTTTCTCGATGTCGCGCATCTTAAAAGCTATCGAAATATTGATGTAGAAAAGATTCTCTTCTCAATGTTTGTTTTTTTTCTATGGACAAGAAGAGGCTTGAGAAAATGAAGGTGAGGAAGAGGAAAAGAACCGCGGTGTCGACAAGCCAGTTGGATTACATCGCGGAAACAAATGAGTCTACCGAGCGCGCCAAGGAAGATCTTACAAGAAGACAAATGAGCCGACTCTCGAAATGTATGCGCTTCGAGTTCAATTTCAATCTAATGATGAGTCGATAGGAAAGTTAAACGAATCGTCTCCTTACGATCTTTTTTTACAAGTCCGCATAAAATTATAAGTTTATCATTTAAAATTTAATTTAAAATCATAAATAAATAGATTAATTTTATCCGATGCAATGTATGCCTATATCGGCAAAAAATAAAAATAATTTTACTATCCACGAAATAACGAGACAGACGAGAAGCCACGATGGAGTTTGTCGCGAGCCGCTAACGAGGGGGAGCTCGTTCTTTCCCTCTTTCTTCTCCATTATAAGTACTTGCCGTCTCTCGTCGTGAAGCACTCGCTGGCTTATATAAGTCTTATAAAGAGCAAAGCGGCGGGACCACACACGTCTGATCCTATCTGCGGGCTTTTCTGTGCGCTTCCCCGCTCTTTTTCTCTCTCTCCTTTTCTTCTCGTCTTCCTTCCTTCTCACGTGGACTGACTCCATTTGTTCTACCTCTTACAACGTGAATCGTTCCCTAAACCGATCCCATTCTCCGTACGTCCGGCAAATTATACGCGATCGTGATAAGGACTGCCAAGGATATTATCCGAATGCATTTGATGTGTTTTGTCTCGATGAACAAGCACCATCGACGTAGGAAATAAAATTCGTTTGAAGCAAACGTTATCCCGATATATAAATTATAAATTGCTATTTTCATCGACTGCGATTTTATCATAAAAGAAAATAGAATTTAATGTTGAAAGAATAAGACACTTACCCCATTCTGCATTCGATGGAAACATCCAATGACCGGAAACAGAAAAATATGAAAAATTAAATTGATCTTCAATCTTGTAAAGACTAATAATATAACATCGAATATAATGTAAATCGCTCTAATATATTCTACAAATAAAATTTCTGATTCTTCAATCTTATAACATCTAAAAAAAGCACTGGTTTGAAACAATTTTTTTATACAGGAATCTCAGAGGAAAAGGGCACTCACCGTGGTCTCGTTGACACTCTTGTTGTAGTCCCTATAGGTGCCCGCTATTAATTTAATGATGTTCTCCTCGCCGTGTTTGGCGCCCCAATGTAAAGCCGTCTGCAACACGCGCGAAGAAAGACGGGGTCATAATTCGACGGTCGTTTAAATCGCACGAGACCGGAATTACCGAGCGGGGTTTTACGAGGAAGCTGGCGCAATGGGAAGGTGATAAGTAAAAATGTATCAGCGCCGAGATTTATGACCGCGGCTGTGGATTTTTCGGGCGCCGAAGGTGGCCCGATTGCAGAGACACGACGCGAGCAGCTGTAACGTATTTTCGGGATGACACGTCCGTGAAATATTCGCGAATTAAGCGACGGCAACGGCCCGGGTGTCAACCGGGACGAGCTGAATGAATGGAACCCATCGTCGGGACGTGTTCGAGAGAGAGGAAGACTCCCAGACCGGCAATCGATTATAGTCGGAACGGAGAGGAGCAAATGCGACTCCAGGAAAGCCGGAAAGGGCAAATAAACGGAGCTTGAATTTTATTTCCACTTAGATAGAATTAAGCGACACGAAAATTCTTCGAGAAGAGAAAGTCTTGGTCTGATTGCAATGGAAGATGGCAACATTCACTTTTTTTCTTTTCTGATATAATAAATATTATATATTTTTACATTTTAAATGCTATACATATTTCTATATTCTTTAAATATTTCTTTAATTAATAAATTAGATGTAATAAAGGATACAAGCAATATTGTAATTGATACTTTGGTTATTAAAACACAGCTTTTTTTTTGTTTATATTTTTGTTGCATGCTTTGCTTCTCGTGCACTTAATAAAGTGCACTTAATAAAGTTATTATTGCTACAAATTATATGCTCGGTTTCTTGAAAAACGTGTAATTCTGATTAATAATACCGTTAAGTTATCCGTCTCGCAGCAAAGTCTCTTGTTTAATCGCAGCCGCGTTCGATTACCCGCATCATATACTCGGCTATCGAATATATATGCACCCGACTGTGACCGCACTGCGGACCCTAGAGTCCGAAATTAACGGCGAAAATTAATCACCAAACCACGAACGCGACGTCGACTATTAACGCGACATTCTCCGGCGAGTCCTGATCCGAGCGAAGCGCGCCCTAAAAGGGCGTACACGTTTTTCGCGGCAAAGAGAGGAAGGGAGACGGTAGAGTAAGCAAGCTTTCGTAACGGGACATGCGTTTTAATTTTATCAAGCCCGCGCATCCCGCGGGTAGATTAAAAATAGTGTCGGTCTCCAGATTCGCGCGGGAACGTCAACGGAAGCTGCCCTCGACCTGAAGCCGGCCGCTCGTACGTCGGCCACCCTCTGCAAGTCGCGGACCACCTCATTAGCGGACCGGGGAGGAAAAAAAAAGACACGTTCTAACGAGGCTACGTACGTAATGACGGGAACCACGCGCGTGTATGCGTGAGCAGGCACATACGTGGCGAGTCACTCGCACAGGTACGAGGGACTCTCGTGCGACTCTCTCATTTTGTATGCGCGGTCCTCGCGGCAAATTAACGGACGACGGATCGAAAGGTACGCGACACTCGCGTCGTAATATTACGTCGCCACGTGCAATGCTAATAAGGTCGGAAGGATACGAGCTATACGGGATTAATCGATCGAATTGGTGTGATTGCGCGGGTCGAGCAATTAATCGGCTTGTAACGAGGATAAAGAATATTGACGCTCAAAATCTTTTCAAATAAACTGAGATCTATCTAGCGTGCAATTTTCATTGTTTCTCTCTTAAATGGAATTAGTATGTTATTGATAAGTAGTGTAATTTCAGTTAAATATGGTATTAGAAACGGTAAAGTTTTTCATCGAAAGAATCAATTAAGCTGTTTCAATTATATTTTTCAATTATATTTGAAGTATTATTTATTTTATTTATTTATTTTATCAATCTTAATCATATTTTAATATTATTTTTGTTTCTTATAATGTTAATCATATTTATTTTTACTTTTATTCAATAATATTTTGAAATATGTTTTGTATTATAATATATATATGAGATAAATTCATAAAAAGAAGAAATATATGTCTTGTTAAAGAAATATTTGAGTTTATCGCATCTTAAGAAAAAATGTGATATGCGCATGTAATTCTAAATTCGAATAAATTTTACTGCTATAATCAGTGAAAGAAAAGGTGGAGGAATAAAATGTATTATAATTAAAGATCAATGAAATGCTCACTTGGATGAAATCTTGTCGCTGCTTTAATCAGCGACATTTTTAGTGATTTAATTGAAGAAGATATATTCGTCGCTAATTTTTTCTTTAATTTTCTAACGCGTTATCTCTCTGTATACGCTACGGATAATTTGAAGAGTGGAGCACACACACGGAATTTACGCATACGGACGAATAATTAAGGGGGGCGCGCTGTCGCTGTACAATTATTAAACGTAGCGCGCATAGCGCGCGGCCAGGCCAGGCCGAGCGGAGTCATTAACCGCGAAGTGCGCGGACATGGTCCATCTAATACGCTCTACGCCGGCTGGCGAAGATGCAAGAATCCGGCTGAATTACACGGGGCGAGGTGCGAAATGAATTTTTACGGTGGTCTCGCGGGGCCATCAGCGCTTATGTGGGTATATCCCGGGGCCGGGCGCACACTACCGGGTGCGGACCACCGTCTACTTCCCCGACCTGGCGTGCTAACGAAGTTTTATGAAGCGCGATAGCGCCATACCTACCTACGCCGCCGTTGACTTTGGCGCTCCTTAATTTGTGAATGCTGCGCGGTGTCGGGCGCGCCGCAAAAGAATGGTATGTCGGCCGACAACGTGATATATCTTCGCTTCCTCCGCCCCGGGACTTCGGTCCGAGTATAGAGGCTACATATCGTGGCAAGTATACAATATATATATATATATATATATATATATATATATATATATATATATATATATACGGTAGCGTTTATGCTTCCCTTTTCTCCCCCGCAAACGCGACTTTCTTCGAAAACGATCCGTGAGAAAGCACGCGATTCGAGTATCGATTTCGCGTCCTCCGTTTTAATGACAGTTTCTGAAAATCTAACGCGAATCAGATAGGAAGGTATCCGCTTCTCCTTCGCTTTGATATTAATTGTGTTGGAGTGGCGTACATATGTATATCTAATTTTTACACTAATTAAAGCTTTAATTAATCTGACGGTAGCCGGTCGTGGCGCTAACCCGATTGCAGCCGAGATGCGAGATGACTACCGACCGTGACGGTTACACTAGTCGGAGCCGCGCATACAATGTGCATCGCTTGACAGTGTCACTGTTGTAAACTCAAAATGAGTTACAACTTGTAGCGCAAAAAATTATTGCGTATTTATTATACATATATCTCATCGAAATAGGGCGCATTTTCATCGGAAGGATGACGGAGGAAGGCAGATCCCCTTCCGTGGGATCCAACGTTCTCGTCGACGGCGGGTGTACGCCACATGTGCGCGAAACTACGTATAAGCCGCAGCTATATAGTTGTCTCTCCGCGGATGCTGATTAAGCCGGGAGCCTGGGAGACCGCGGGCGGTTCGGGTACCCCCGAGCAGCAACAGCGGCGACAACGAGAGCGGGGCCCAGCAACGGCAGCGCAGCTACCGCGAGCCACCGCTCTCTGATGTATGCGAGCGATACAGATATCTCCGGCAAGGAATTTGCGTTGAATTAGCGTATAATCGGCGGGCCGATCTGCTCATACGGAATCCCGCGGCCCCGCTTACACGTGTCCCGAGAGCTGTATTCTCTGCGCGAACACAATATTTAGTGGCGTCGTCGCCGGCTTCTTCTCTCTCTCTCTCTCTCTCTCTCTTTCCTTGCCCGGATCTCCTTCTTCTCCCGTGGGATCCGCCGCCTGGTATGCGACGAGTCTCTTTTTCTCTCCTCCCTCCCTCTTCTTTCAGCTTCCCTGGCCCAAATTTTTCCTTTCCCGCCGCGCCGAAACGACTGGGCTGAGAGCTGCGGCGCGATTTCGTTATTAAGATGGGATTTCGAGATGTAGCATCTCGCTCGACTTGCGCCGGTATTTGTGGCCAGTATTATAAGACCGTCCGCGGCTTCTGAACTCGTGTTAATTGGCTCTCGACGGCGTCGCGCAATTATGCGAGAGAATCCGAAATCTATTATAAATATGTATAAAGGCTTTTAATTAATTTTTTGTGAATGTTTCCTAGCTGTTACTCGAAGCGAAAGTTACACTTTATCGAAGAGATGACAATTAGATTCGCGTTAAGCGACAGAGAGAAAATTATATTTGTCGATCGTTCCATCGAAGATAATCGCGGAGATACTGCTGTCATGAGGGTTACAAGCATTAACAAATTTCCTCATCTCAATCTGTGTTCCTTAACTTCGCCATTCATCTCGAACATCCGTGAATCCTTTGGATGAGAGAGCGAGAGAGAGAGAGCAGAAGCCGGCTGCCGATCGAGCCACGAAACGCTTGCGGTGGGTCGTCCGGATTCAGCGGCGCGATTCGATCTCCCAAAGGTCAATTCTGGGAAATCGGGGGGAGACGTCGGGCGCGTGTCTTCCGATGGGAAGAGAACCAGGGAGGAAGAGGAGGACAACTAAAGGTAAGGGGAGAGGAAGGAGAGAACCGGGTAACGAGCCTCCGGTCACGTGTGCGGCGTCGGGCGTCGAGATGTCAGATCTATCGGCGCGTGCTCGATGGCGCGTGTCTTCGCCTGTTGATCAGTCCTGTCGCTTTTAACGTCGTGCCCGACGTAACACACGTCGCTGCAGGATTGTCCGCCCGATTCAAAGTCGGAGTTAGTCACGAATTCGTGATCGTCGCAAAGATCTTTTGTACGCGATGACGATCGCGGTGTACGAAGACAAACAACGTCGGATAGATAGATAATGAAGATAATATTTGATGAATCGCGTTCGACAAATAAGCGACGTCAAACTGACAGGAGTACCTCCTACTCCGAAACGTCATTGACACGAGAATACTTTTCTTTCGACGTCGATCGATATCGCCGAGCAAAAATTGCGAATTGTCTTTCGCTCGCGCCGTCACTCGGCCGTTGAATGTAGATAAATGTCGAGAGAGGAAAGAGTGTTTT